TACCGGTCAGAGGTGCGGGAGGGTGAGAGGATTCACCAGAGACAGAGTGGGGAGCAGAGCAGGCAGACAGAAAGCCCTGCTGAGGGGAGCAGCAGGCGAGGCAGGAGAGGTCTGCCGTGCCATGTAGGAATTTCCCTGGCCGGCCGGGAATTGAACCCGCGCTGCAGAGGCTGCGGACACTTTCACAGCACTGTGCTCAACCCGCTGCGCCACCGGGGGGCCCCTGTTATTTTTGTTTATGGAGAAATAGTCATGATGCATCTGGTGACAAAAGACTCAGGCCCTTGCATGGAGTACTTAGTGCCCTGTGCCAGGCGCCATTCTGCTCTGTGCTATAGCGCACGTCTGGAGAAGCACACAGGTGGTTGTTTCAATTTATTTATTTATTTGTTTGTTAGTTTGTTTGTTTGAAGATTTATTTATTTATACAAGCACTGGGTACAGTCAGAAGTGCGGGAGGGTGAGAGAATTCACCAGAGCCAGAGCAGGGAGCAGAGCAGGCAGAAGGACCAAGGTACACTGCTGAGGGGAGCAGCGGGCGGCAGGAGAGGTCTGCGCGCCATGTGGGACCCTCGCCTGGCGCCTGGGGATTGAACTGCTGCTACAGAGGCTGCGGGCAGCTTCTCAGCCCAGCACTCAACCACTGTGCCACCTGGGAGGCCCAGTTATTTAAATTTAAACTACAGTTTGATCAAAGTGGAAACTCCTGCCTCAGCACATTTCTCCTGCTCAGCAGCCATCGCTCACTTGCACCCTGTTGGTCGGTTCAGACTCTAGGACATTCCTCGCGCCACCGCACACTGGGCCCTCCTGTTTCTGTTGCGCTTTAAGCTGGACACTGGAGGACAGTAGCCACGTTAGCCTTGGGGCTCACTCCCCTGCTCCTGTAGGCAGAATTAGCTTAGTCTCAGTCTCAGTATGGGGTGCGCTCTGACCCCCAGATCCTTTTTGACTGTTGTAAGGACTCTGGGACTTTCCCTTGTAGTGCAGCATCATGGTTCTTTTCCCACCCATCTCACATCTGGCCCCTACCTCCCCACTTGCCCCCTCTGGCTCCCAGGTGATCCGTCAGCTAATGAAGAAGGAGTTCACCCTGGAGTTCTCCCGGGACAGGAAGTCCATGTCTGTCTACTGCTCTCCAGCCAAATCCTCCCGGGCTGCTGTGGGCAACAAAATGTTTGTCAAGGTCAGAAATCAGAATGTGCCTCTCTTCCTAATGCTGAGCCTGTCTCCCTGTGTCCTGCAAGGCAGGCCATGGTCTCTGAATGTTCTGATTTCCTAGGGTGCCCCTGAGGGGGTCATCGACCGCTGTAACTACGTGCGAGTGGGTACCACCAGGGTGCCAATGACAGGCCCAGCGAAGGAGAAAATCTTGTCTGTGATCAAGGAGTGGGGGACTGGCCGGGACACCCTGCGCTGCCTGGCCCTGGCCACCCGGGACACCCCCCCCAAGCGAGAGGACCTGATCCTGGATGACTCCGCCAGGTTCATGGAGTATGAGGTGGGCAACCCAGCTTCCCGTGGTCCTAGACCTGGTGCCTCACCTCTGCCACCTTGTCACGGGTCCTGGAATGGCAGGATGTTATTGTGAGACCTTGGGGATCATCTAGCCTGGTGCTGCTGTGTGTGATCCCTGGGCCTTTCTGTGAGGGGACACTTGCCCAGAGCAGATGTCTACTGTGTCTCTAAGCTCATTGTCAGGCTCAGCTGACATGTCTTCTCTGGGGAGAAGCAGCTTGCATTTTGGCACAAGCTCCTTACCTTGTAGCGGACTGGCTGTCTGCATAGCATCAAAGTACTCCCTCATCTTAGCAAGGGGAGACTGTGCCCCTGCAGGTAGCATGATTTGCTCAAAGCTGGACAGGAAGTGAGTGGACCTGCTAAAAGCAGAAACCATCCCCATAACTTCCTGCTCAAATTCTCTGAAAGACACCGTCTGTCCCTAGTGCAGGTTCACATCTGAATAAGAAACTTTCCTCAGTCTTCAAGGCCCTGCTGAGGTCTGAATTCTAGGCCTAGGGTCAGCTCTGCCCTTGCTCACTTACCATGCCCCCACCGCCCCTGGGAGGAGTCCATTTTCCAAGCCCCTCCCTGACGCTGTGGCTCTCTGTCTCTTCAGGCCGACCTGACCTTCGTTGGTGTGGTGGGCATGCTGGACCCGCCCCGCAAGGAGGTCACGGGCTCTATCCAGCTGTGCCGTGATGCCGGCATCAGAGTAATCATGATCACCGGGGACAACAAGGGCACAGCCATTGCCATCTGCCGGCGAATTGGTATCTTCGGAGAGAACGAGGAGGTGACGGACCGAGCCTACACTGGCCGGGAGTTTGATGACCTGCCCCTGGCTGATCAGCGGGATGCCTGCCGTCGCGCCTGCTGCTTTGCCCGCGTCGAGCCCTCCCATAAGTCAAAGATCGTGGAGTTTCTGCAGTCCTTCGATGAGATCACAGCTATGGTGAGGAGGCCTGGGCTGGCCCACGCTGGGCACAGGTGGAGTCTGGCGGGGGGCAGTCCTTTTCGTGCCTGTTGGGACCTGGGGTCCAGAGAGGGCGGGGCTGAGCCCAGACCCTGATGAGATGCGCAGAAGGCAGCGAGCGGTTCAGATACCCCGGAAGGCTCAAGGAGGGGTTATGAAAGTGGCCCCGCTTCTTCCCTCAGACAGGTGATGGTGTCAATGATGCCCCTGCCCTGAAGAAGGCTGAGATTGGCATTGCCATGGGTTCTGGCACTGCCGTGGCCAAGACTGCCTCTGAGATGGTGCTGGCCGACGACAACTTCTCCACCATCGTGGCGGCTGTGGAGGAAGGCCGTGCCATCTACAACAACATGAAGCAGTTCATCCGCTACCTCATCTCCTCCAACGTGGGCGAGGTGGTCTGGTGAGCAGCCGGGTGGGTGGGCACGCATCCAGGAGGAACTCGGGCTGGCGGGAGGACCACGGGTCTGGGAGGCAGGGTGAATGTGTGATCACCTCCTTCTGGCAGCATCTTCCTGACGGCCGCCTTGGGGCTGCCTGAGGCCCTGATCCCCGTGCAGCTGCTGTGGGTGAACTTGGTGACTGATGGGCTCCCGGCCACAGCCCTGGGTTTCAACCCACCAGACCTGGACATCATGGACCGGCCCCCCCGGAGCCCCAAGGAGCCCCTTATCAGTGGCTGGCTCTTCTTCCGTTACTTGGCAATTGGGGGTAAGCAGGATGGGGCCCCACAGTCCTCCCCAACCCCCAGGACTGAGTCCTTCTTTGGGACCACTGTTCATGACCGTGGTCCCCTTATACCCCTGACTCCCATCTTCTCTCTACCTCAGGCTACGTGGGTGCAGCCACTGTGGGGGCTGCTGCCTGGTGGTTCTTGTATGCGGATGATGGGCCTCATGTCTCCTACAGCCAGCTGGTAGGGTGGAGAGAGAAGGGGGAGGGCACCCACAGGTGACATGGAGGCTTCCGTGGGATTCCCAGTTCCTCTCCCTCCCCTGCAGACTCACTTCATGCAGTGCAACGAGGAAAGCCCTGACTTTGAGGGTGTGGACTGTGAGGTCTTTGAGGCCCCCGAGCCTATGACCATGGCCTTGTCTGTGCTGGTCACCATCGAGATGTGCAATGCCCTCAACAGGTGGGCACCCCCCCCCCACCTTCCCGAGGCCGCTGCTTCGTCCTCCAGCCTCTCCTCACCACTGCTCTCTTTTCATGTCTCCCACCCTGGGCTCTGCCTGGCTTCCCCCTGCAGCCTGTCTGAGAACCAGTCCCTCGTGCGGATGCCACCCTGGGTGAACATCTGGCTGGTGGGCTCCATCTGTCTCTCCATGTCCCTCCATTTCCTCATCCTCTATGTGGACCCCCTGCCGGTGAGCAGGGAGGAGGGAGTGGTCAACTAGGGGCCTCTGCCTGCCCCTCCCCAGAGGGGGTACATCCTCTCACTGCCTTGTGCCTGCCCCCCAGATGATCTTCAAGCTCCGGCCCCTGGACGTAACCCAGTGGCTCATGGTCCTGAAGATCTCCCTTCCAGTCATCGGACTGGACGAACTCCTCAAGTTCGTTGCCCGGAACTATCTGGAGGGTAAGCTGCTCCCTTCCTCCGGGCCCCGCCAACCCTGGCCCTGAGCACAGCCCCCGTGCCCTGCGCTGCGAAGGCGCCTGCCCCCATTCCCTTTCAGGTGGGTGTGTCCTCGGTCCCCTGGGACCAGGGTCCCGCTCCTCCTTTGCCCACCTCTCGGCACTTGGTACAGACCTTCTCCTTGGCCCCCTACCGCCTCCTCAGCCCTCTTGGCCCTTCAGGCCTACCTCTCCTCCTCCCTCGATAACGGCTGTCTCTGTCCTCTCTGGCCGTAGGATAACCCGTTCCCCCCTCCTCCATCTCTTTGACCGTGTCACAGGTATCACGCCCCCTCTTGCCCTCGCCCCCAGCTGCTGCTCCCGCCCTCCTGTCTCCCCCTCTGCACCCAGGGTCACTTGCGCTCGCAACTCCACCTGCGCTCATGGCTCCACCTGGAGCCACTGCTGTCTGCCACTGGCGCGCTTCCAGGCGGGTGGGCCACCACCCCCCCTGGCTCCGCACTGCCCGCCCCTGGCACCCCGGTGTCTGCTGGGCTGCGCTGCGCTGCGCTGGCTGGCGCTGAGCTGTCTGCCGCTGGGACTGCAGTGGTTGGGAGGAGTGGGATCTGGGCACCCAGGTGAGTACGGGGAGGGCCTGGGTGACCTTCCAGGTGAGTATGCCAGGGGCCAGGACAGGGGACCTGGGGGGGCCATTTCCTGACCCCGCCTGTGCCCCACCACCTGCTTCATCCCTTCCCTTTCTCCTTCCAGATCCCGAAGATGAAAGAAGGAAGTAACCAGCCCTTCCGCCCCTCCCCCGCCCCATAGTGATGCATCTTCAGCCAGAGCTGTGGCACAACCCCCATGTTCCCTTGACTCCCCCCAACTTTTTCTGTTTATAAACACAATGTCCCCTTCCCTTTTCCTCCCCTCTACCCTCCCTTTTGCCCTTGTAAACTCTCCCCCCCAACCCCATGGGGCTTGCAGGGACAAGGCGACCGATTGAGCTGAGCTGCTTATTTATTGAAAATAAATGACAGAAAAGTCTGGCCTTGCCTCTGTGTGCATCTTCGGGCCTGCATCCTGGGGCACAAGCATCTTAGTGTCATGCAGTCCAGAAAGCAGCTGCCTGTCTTGGGGCGCATATGTGGAGGGACCCGGCTGACCTGGACTGGAGGCTCCACCACCCTTCACGGCTTGGCCGTGCCCGGGGAAGGGGCCTGGCCGTGCCTGGCGAGCCTGTGCGTCTGGCTGGGGGGCGTGAAGCAGGACAGCCAGAAAGTCACAGGGCTGCACCTGCACCTTTGGTTCCTGGGGGAGCCCCTCGCCCAGGTGGCATCCTTGAAAGCAAAAGGCCCAGCCACCCTAGGAAGAGGCACCGGAGGGACAGGGCGGTAGCAGCCCCACCACCGAACCCCAGTTTATAGAGGGAGAAGATGAGCCTGAGACCCCGGAAGCCTGAGACTCATGGTCTGCGGTGGAGAAAACCAGTCTCCCTGGGCAGGTGGGTTCCCCCGCGGACGCCTCAGGTGTCCTTGATGTCTCTGATGTCCCGGAGGGGCGCCTCGTCCATGATTCTCTGCACTTGCTCCAGATTCTCCGCCTGACGAATCCGTTCCAGGCGCACCTGCGGGGTCCAGCAAGGGAAGCAGGGGCCCTTGGTGAAGAGACGCAGCCCCTACCCCAACTGCCAGTCCCCAGAGGGGCAAGGGCCTGTGACCACTGTACCCAGGGGCACCTCCCACCCCTGCCCTTGGAGAAATGGGGTTCCAGGAAAGAAGTGGGTCCTGAAAGAGGAGCCTGAGGAAGTGTGGGCAGGGGCTTCAGCTCTGACAAACATGCACACACAAGATCGACATCTGGGGAGCAAGAGCTCAGGAAGACGGCCCGTGCCAGTCCCAGGAGGAAGAGGATGCCCTCTATTAGGCTCCCAAGACCCAGCACAAGTCACCTGGAGTCAGGTCAGCCAGGTGGGGAGGGGACAGGCCATACCTGCAGGGCCTGGGACAGCCGGACAAAATCCCTCTGCACCTGTTCACTGGTCTCCAGCTCAGCCTGCAGCCGCAGCACCTTGGCCCTCTGTTCTGAGAGGAGGTCTGTGAGCTGGGCCTGGGGGAGCAGGACACTGCGCTGGGGCCTTGGCTCAGCCAGATGAGGGTGTGTGACCAAAGAAAGGGGACTTGTAGACGGGGGATCCCCTTTTATACCACCCCCACTCTGACCTCTTCAGTGCAGGCTTCCTGCCGCCTGGTCCAGAGACACAAAGGGCAAGAGGGGCCGGTTAGGGCCTTCTCCACACTGCCACCCCGAGCCCGCCACCCCCGCCTGGCCCCAGTTCTGCCTCACCTTGTTCTGTTCCTGCTGGACACGCTCCATCTCCGTCCTCAGGCTGCACAGGGAGGCTGGGAAGTCAGGCAGGGGCCAGATATCAGGCCCACGCCCGCTCTCCTGCCCCACCCCCGCCTGCTGCTTGCCGCGGGGCTGCAGCCCATACTCACCTTCCAGCACCTCTGTGTGGAAAGGAAAGAAAGAGTGGTCAAGGCCTTGACAAATCCGACAAGCTGGCACGGTTTCCTCTCCCCACTCCTGGTGCCCCAGTGGGGAGCCCAGCCTTCAGGGGAGTAGGGATGGGGGGGCCCTCTCCCACCTCACCTGTCTCCTCCCGCTGTACCCTCAGCTGGCCCTCCAGGCTGGCCCTGGCTGCCGTCTCCTCCTCCAGCGCCTCCCGCAGCGTCACGATCTCGATCCGCAGGCGCTCAGCCTTGTGCTCCTGGGCCTGCTGATGGGCCCGCGCCTCCTGCTGTGTGCGGCGCACCAGCTGCTGCAGCTCCTGGAAGCAGTGAGGGCCTGCTGAGGGGGCCGGAGGGGCAGAGGCCACAGATGGGGACCGTGGGGTGGGGAAAGAAAAGCGTTCGGAAGGGCAATGACCAGGTGCCCATCACGGGAGTGTGGACAAGGACAGCCACGGCAGCTGCAGTGGAGGGCCCTCGGGAATGGTGCTGAGGGACAGGGCCGGGAAGTTACCTTTTGATAAAGATTAAAATCAGCTAATGCTAGCACTCCATTGTGGGGGCAGACATGTAATGAAAACGATGCTAAAAAGCAGCAAGGGGATCATGCTGAGGAGGGTAGACAGAGCCAAGGAATATGGGGGTGCACCCAAGAAATGGGAGCTGCAGTTCTCAGGGTAGGCAAGGGCTCAAGATGATCTATGTTATCAAGAAAGCCAATCATGGCCTCCCTGGCGGTGCAAGGGGTTCAGACGCAGCACTATGAAGCTGTCCACAGCCACTACAGCACGAGTTCCCATCCCCAGCCAGGGAGCTGACCCACATGGCGCAGCAGACCTCCCCTGTCTCACCTTCTGCTCCCCTCAGCAGTGTATTTCAGTAGATCCACCTGTTCAGCTCCCCACTCTGTCTCTGGTGAATCCTCTCACCCCCCCACACCTCTGACCTGTACCCCAATTCTTATATGCATAAATAAATGAATCTTTAAAAAAAAAAAAGCCAGTCAACCAAGGTCACTCACGGATTGATGATGAGAGCTTGTTATGAACCAAAGACTATGGGAATTCAATTGTGTGGATCTCATCACTTCAAAATAAGAAACTAAATCACTGCTTCCGTTGCATCCGGCATTCTGTTAGCTCATTTTCTCCTCATGCCAATGCTGGAAGGCAGTATGGTCCCATTTTTCAGGGGAGGAAACTGAGGTGACAGACACTGCCTGGGCCTGTCCCTGGGCCCCCGGGTCCCAGTGCTTTGCTCTGCCTGAGGAGCAGGGCTGACAGGTGGCCCCAGGCTCTCAGCAGCAGCTCACCCCTTACCGGCACTGAGCTGGGCAGTGACTCCTCAGGGCCCTCCTCCTGCTCCAGGCCCTGTGGGGCAGCAGATGACGGCTGCTCAGCCCGGAGCCCTTGGTTTTCTTCAGTCAGCCGCTTTACCTCATGGCTCAGGCACTTGTGGGAGGTGGCCAGCTCCGCCTGGGGATGGACAGCGTGAGGAGATGAAAGCGAGCAGTGTCTCCAGTGTCCTGTAAGGTCAGCCCCTGAACTCTGCTCGCACGGTGCTGACCGTCAGAAAGCCCACTCCTGCCTCCTTGCCGAGCAAGGAGAAACACCCTTCGTTGTCTTCTGCTCCCAGGTTCATCAAACACCCTTCTCGGCTGGAGGCCACACAGTGGCAGCCACGGGTCACGTCAGGTGTTTTATTTGGTCCATGTGGCTTTTTCTTTGACTTTAATTGCCAACTTTAAAGACGACACAAAAAACATCCAGGTCTCTGGCTCCTCTTGACAAATCTGACAAGCTGGCAGCAGTGAGCCGTGTTTCCACATGGCGGTGAGCGGCGGGGCGGGGGTCAGGGTCTGCTGCCTACCTCCCACCTGGCCCAACTCATCATTTATACCTCCCGTCTAGTCTTGGGAAGCGTCTGATCCTGCAAACTTGCTTTGAATCCTCACGGCTCTGTCAGCTAGGTTAGATTATCTCAGTTTTGAGGTGAGGTTGAGGCTCTGAGCTGGAGGGATCAGCTCATAACCACACAGGGAGGTCACGGTGGGTGCTGTCTGACCGCAGACGCCCTGCTCTGGCCCAGCACCTGGTGCCCTGGAAACCCTTTTACTCACCTGGCCCCAACTCCAGGGTACAGCCCCGATGGCTGGGGTGCAGGTCAGGTGCCTTAACTTTCCTACCAGGTGTCCCCCTCAGCCAATTCCCATCACGCTCCTCCCCTCTCCCCCCGCCCCCCAGCCCTCACCATCTGCAGCTGAACCCGCTCCTGGGCCTGGCTCACGGTCCCCTGCAGGGTCCGCAGCAGCTGCTCTGAGTTCTGGACCTGGGCCAGGAGCACCTGCATCTGTGGGAGGAAGGGGTGAGAATGAGGTCGGGGCCCAGGAGGAGGAAGGCGGCCGGAGCCCTTACTGTGGGAACTGGAGCAGAAGCAGGACCCACCTGCTTGGCGCAGTCCTCATTGCTCCGTCTTAAGCCTTCTTGCAGCTCATCTCGCTCACGACTGAGGCTCTCCAGATCCTTCTGCAGCTGCCGCCCCTGCCACAGACCCTGGCCTCAGTTTCCACCTCTGCCACCTTTCCTCCTGCATCTCAGCAGACGGTGACATCATGGGTGCAGCAGCTCACACCACGGCCTAGGAACTGATACTGACTCTTCTCTTTCCCCCACTCCCTACTAGCAACCCAGCAGCAGGCCCTGCCAGCTCTACCGCCAAAGAGGATTCTAAACCTGTCCTCTTCTCTCCATCTCTGCTGCCATCTCCTGGTCCCAGGCACTCCTTCTAAAGTGTATCAAACCTCCCCTAACCAGCCACCCGGCTTCAGTTGCCCGCTCCCCTCACTATGTCCATTCCCACCGAAGCCCAAGCCTAAAGCAGAGCAGGCCTCTCTTGGCCTTAAACCCACACAGGCTCCCTACTGGTCCCCATCGCAAACCTAGGGCCACGCAGGCCCCTGTCTGCTTTCCAAGCTCATCTCTCTCCCCCGTGGTGGCCTTTCTGGTCCTCAGACACACATGGGCATCATGTGGGCCTTTGAACTTGCAGTTGCTTCTGTCTCCAATCTTTGAAAAGCACCTCATTTTCCCCATGCAGGTCTTGCTCTCCTGCACTGCCAGTCTCTACCCACTGTGAGCTCATCTTCCCATGGACTGGCTTGGGTCTGCTTCCCTCCCTAGGAGGTAGCACTAGGAGGGTGGAGGCATTTCCTTCTTCACCGTGTGTGGGGTAAAGGAATTGGTCAGGCTTTTTGCGCCACTAGCTTCTGTGGCTATCACCTGCAGCCTCAATCGCAGTAATGCAGAAGGCGCTTGGGAGCGTGAGCCTGGGGCATGCGGGGCTGATTGTGGACACCTGAACTATGGTGTGGGCATGAGTAAGTGGGCACACCTGCACCGTAAAGGCAGAACTATAAAGGTGGCATCACTCAGGAGGCAGCTACGGGAGGACGAGCAGCATGGCTACAGAAGAGGTGAGGCCATGAGCGAACGCCAGAGCCCAGGGAGAGAGCAGACTGGTGTGGGGCTGGGCGGCCCAGTTGCCTGCCTGCCTCCTAGCCCCCCTGCCCGGTCCGTGCCAGCCTCCCTGCCTGGCGTGCCTGGTTCCCTGAGAGAGCATTTCCTTGACCCGTCTGCCTGACTCCACAGGGAGCCTGCCCTGTGCTCGCTGGCACTAGATGCCCAGCTCCAGCTCAGGGCCCAGTGGCAGCTACTCGGCAGCATTTGCTAAAGGAGAGGGACGCGGGCCGCTCTTCCCACTCTACTCACCTCCACTTGCAGCTGCTCCCACTGGTTGTCTGGGACCAGCTGGTAACCAGGAGGGGGCAAGTAGATGCCCTCGGGGACCAAGGTGCCCGTGGACACCAGCGAGGCTGTCTCCTCCTGCTCGGGGCTTAGGCCTTGGCGGGGCCGGGGTAGGGAGGCACTGCTGCCGGCCCCACCGCCAAGGGAGAAGGAGGAGATGGAAGCGCTGTCGTCACAGTTGTGGGCGAAGGCCTCCGCGGCCGCCCCCCCATCTCCACTCAGCTCCTCGAGAGGCTCCAGCGGGGGAGATGGGTCCCGGGACAGGGGCAGCAGCTCCGTGGAGCCATGCAGGGAAGGAGGCTGCCGGGGCCGTCTCTAGGAAAAAGGGGAAGGGAATAGGCTGGGGGTCCGGGGTATTCTGGCGCCCCTTCTCCCCTCAGCACCCCTGGCTGCCTCCTCACTTGGATCTCTTGAATCAGCTCCTCTGCCCGCAGCAGTTTCGCCTTCAGCTCCTCAATCTCCTGCTCCATGGGCAGCACAATCTCCCGCAGCTTCTCCGAGTCCTCGTGGGCCTGCAGGAAGGGGGAATTTAGGCAGTGGCTGTCCCCACTCCCGACCGGGGAACCCCTTGGGCCTGTTCAGTGCTTTCTCTTCTATTCCTCCCAAGAAGGCGCTGTCCACCCCCATCTTAGAAGAACACAGAGACCCCGTGAGGTCATGTGACTTCACGCTGTGTCTTCCTGTTGTCTGCTCGCTCACCATACTTTTCTTCCTCTAAATCCATTTCTTTTATCAAGGAACCTCACAGTTCTAGTTGGGCACACAGCCTAAATTCTAGAATACCATCTACATTTCTCAGCTTCCCTACAACTAAGCAGGTCCTGTGACTAAGTTCTAGCTAATGAGATGTAAGCAGATGTGCCAGGTGCAACTTGCAAGTCCCTAAAGGCAGAGGATGTACTCTACTCTTGCTGCTAGAATGTGGACGTAATGGCAGGCTCTCAAGCAATCATCTTGAACCATGAGGCAATAAAGTACCTGTGGCAAAACAACATAGGAGGAGCCCAATTCCTAAAAACTTGCTGGGCTGCCACATCAGTCCTGAATGTCTCTCAGATGGGATCCTGCCGAGCTCACACGGTCAACATCCTCTGGACATCTCCACTTGGATGTCACACAGGCTCCTCTAACCTAATAGTCAAATCTGAAATGGCTCATGATGCCATTTCTCTTTCCACAAGCTCGAGGTCAGTGAGGGGCCCTGCTATCAGCCAGCTGTCCAAGGCAGAGATCTGCCAGCCACCCACTCACTTTCAGTTCATTTCTACCTCTTGAAGCCTTTAAAAACCAGCCTCAAAGAAGCCCCATTTAGTCCTCCAAATCTCTTCCGTGAACAGCTGCAACAGGCAGGTGCAAGGGCCAGCACCTTTTTGGGCCTGAGTGGCCTAAACAAAACACCTCTGGTCCCCTTTGAAGCCCTGGAATACATGTTCTGTAGATGCCCGTGTCAAGTGCAGTGTCGGGCCAGGACGGGAACCACCTGACTCCTGTGCTGCAGCAGGTGGCTTTAATTCACAGGGCCGCCCTGTGGGACTCCTCTGTGAGGACACTCTGAGGCAGTGGTGGCCTTTGCCGGGAAGCTGTGGGCTGGAAGCTTTCCTTCCCTGGGCTCCTGTGCTGATCTTTATCTTTCCATCATTCGATTTACTCCATGCCCCTCAGCTGCAGTTTCCTCCTGCATAAAATAAGGTGAGTACCCACCCCCCAGGGCTGCTGTGAGGACTGAATGAGGTGAGGAGTCTCCCTTTGAAAGATGCAGCGTTTGGTAATATGTGCTTCCTCTTATTGTTAATAACAGCAATCACCAAGAAGGTGATAGACCAGTGGATATGGAACGAAACTGTAGAACCAGACTGCTTAGATTTTTAAATCTTATCTCTGTTCCATCTGGTGTGCGTAACCCAGGGAGAACTGCTGAACATCTCTGAGCCTCTTTGGACTCATCTGGGAAATGGATGTAGTGGGTCTCTCTTATAGGGGAATGAACGGGGAAACTGAGTCTTCAAAGCAGTTAGCATGGTGTCTCGTGCAGGAGAGGTATCCTCAAGTGTCAGCTCCCTTCCCCTACATGCCCTCCCTTAATTTTGGAGGTACACAAAGGGCTAGACCTCGCCCAGTATGGAGCCAAGCATTCAGTAAGTCATGGTAATTGCGTGCTAGAGCCAGCATGATTTCTGGGTTCCCTGCTCCCCCTGATCTGGAAATGGGACACCAAACCCCTCTCTGGTCACCTTTGGCTGCCTCAAAATCTTTCCAAATGTGGAGGGGCAGGCCATCCCCACCCCCAACCTTTTCCATCTGCTTCTCCAAGGAATCCAGGGGGTGAGCCCGGGACAGCAGCTGCTTCAGGCGACCCAGCTCCCGCTCCTTCTCCTCACAGTCCTGCTGCTGCTGCTGCCGCTCCTGCTTCAGAGAAGTGATCTGGGCTTCGTAGCTGCTGATGGAGTCTGGTGGGGCAGAATGGGCGGAGGAGAGGGAGGGTCAATGCGCTCTCCATCATTAATGCTCTCTGCCAGGGAGTTTACCACAGCGGCTAAGACAGCGGACTTAGTGGCAAGCTGGTCCTGGACAATCAAGTAGCCTCCTGCATCAGTGTCCTCAGCTGCAAAGTGGGGACACTAATGATAACCCACTGGTTTGTTGGAGGATCAAAGAGCTGATATCTAAAAAGGGGTTCAGCTTTCTTGCTGGTACATAACAAATGCTGAAGATATGAGACCTATTCTTGTTACTATGCACCAATACCAATCACTAATAATAGATATTTACTGTAGACCAGACTGCCTGCTGGGTTCTGGATATAGAAAAGTTAACCAAACAGAGACCCTGACTCCAAAAACCCATCGTACAGTGGGGAAGGCAGCCGTGGAAGTGGTGGGGAAGCAGCGTGAGAAGCCGAGAGAGGCTCATGCCTGGGCATGCAGAGCCAGAGGAAAGAGTCCCTCACTCTGTCGGCCTGGCCAGAAGAGGCCACGAGCAGGTGTAGAGGAGGGTAAGGATACCTCAGCAGGACCAGCAGGAGCAAAGGCTCAGAGGTGAGAAAGTGGATGGCAAGTCTGGGGCATGGTGGGGAGATGGTGGAAAAGGGGAGGATGGCAGTGAATGGCCCCTCAGGCCTTGAATGCCACGCCAAGGAGTTTGGTATTTATTCTGCTGGTCAGTGAGAGATGGAGGTGGTGTTGGGTGGAGCAGTAGCATTTTTTACTTGCATAGTTATTTTAACATGTACCAGCATTACATATAAAGATTTTGCTGCCAGAGCAGCTGTGTTAAAATCTTTTGCTGCTTTCTAGCTGTGTGACCTTGGGCAAGTTAGCTCACTTTTCTGGGCCTTAGAGCTTCCTCTGTAAAATGGAAATGGATAATAGTTCCTATCCTACAGAGTTTGTTATGAAGATTAAATATTCATAAAGCATTTAGCTCAGTGCCATATAATAAGTAACTCAATAAATGTGAGCTATTTAGGACACAGTTTCTCTTAGAGACATAACATATCCTTTAAAATAACTCTATGTGAGTTTACGTTTTTATTTTAGAGATTACATACAAAGATTTTTTTTAATTTATTTTTTATTATATTTTTGAGGTAATGTAAGGGTACAACACCATAGTGTACCCACCCCCAACTTAACCCATATTACACCACTATGAGTTTTTTTTAAAAAGATCTATTTAACACCAAAAAATAACAAAGATCTATTTAAAGAACAAACATGAAGTAGATAACTGGGTGAGCTGCAGGAGGAGACAGGTGGAATGGGGATCCTGAAATGTGGGAGACAGGGTTGGGGAGAGATCTGGAGCCAGGAGTGGCTGTTACAAAAGTAACATGGTGGGATGGGATTTTGGGAAGTTTCCTCTGGAAGCCAACACCAAGGCCAGACCAGACTCGAGAGGGAGACCTGTGAGAAGGAAACAGTCCCGGGAAGTTGAGGACCCCACCAGAGCATGACATCATCAGCAGCAGAGGGGTGAGAAGATCTCGAGGCTATTTCAGAGGCTGTTCTCCCAAAGGAGAAGGCAGAAAGAAGAAAAGCCAGGGAATCTGAGGCAACACGAGCTGATGCATCCCAATACAAAGAATGGGAGCTGGACAGAGGGAAGTCAGTGCACGTGCGTGTGTGTGTGTGTAGAAGTGGCTGGGGAAGGAAGGAAACCAGAGCATTAGACTCTGTGACTGGGCCTGGGGCTGAGTCTGTAACCCAGAGGCTCAAATGATGCTGGTTCAGAAAACAGAAGTTGCTCATCTTCAGGGTTGACCAGTCGCCAGTGAGTGACTAGAAATGACACTGAGCAAGGGAACAGGTAGAAGTCTGGAGTGAAACTTAGCTGAAAGGGATGGAGTGGGGCTAGCACTTGCGGCACCTCCATGTCAGTACCAAAAGGGTGCCCCTTTCTCTGGGCCCACGGGCCTGCCCTGTGCTGGTAGCCCTGCTAACCCACTCTATAGCTTATCATTCCTCCCACCCACTTATGTGGGAGTGCCTCCCACTCCCCTTATGAGTGGGAGTCTTGGAGTCCCCGTCTCACCTTTCAAAATGGCCTGCAGCGAGGCCACCTCCTCTTGGCATTGCCGCCGAACTGCAGCCACAGCCTCTGCCTTCGTGCTCTCGCTCACCTCTGCCACCGCCTTCATGGTCTCCATTTCCGCCAGGGCACCTGCCAGCTCAGCCCGAAGCCGGCCGAGCTCCCCTGACTCAGCCTCCACCTTGGGCCCCTCCTGAGGCTGAGGGTCCAGTGCTGTGGGGGACAGGTATCAGCTCTCTTCCCATCACACTCGGATACCCAATACCCCAGGTCATCAAATCTGCAAGACCTGCAAGCTAGCACAGCAGCACCCCAACCTTCACCTAGCCCGACCCGCTCACCTGGCCACGCCCCTTACCCCGCCCCTTCTCACCCAGCGCGGGTTGTCGCCTGTAGCCCCGCCCCTTTCCCGTTCCCTGGTTCACCCAATCCTTTTCCTGACACGACCCCTCCCTTCCAAGGGCCCCGCCCCCTGCGCACCTGGCCCCGCCCCCTCACCTGTCCCTGGCCTACCCCGGGAATGTCGGGCCACGCCCCCTTCGCCGGTGGCGCCGGGCCCCGCCCTCTCTTTCTCGGCGGGGTGGCCCCGCCCCTTTCCTCAGTCCCCCCCCCCACCATCCCCCATCCGCCGGCTGCCGAGCTCAGCTCCGCCTCCAGCTTCGTTGCCCCTCGCGTGCACGGGCGCGCCCTCACGTACCGGCCCCCAGCCGTCGTCCCCGGCCATCCTCGCCCGCGGCCGCCGGCGCAGCAGCCGCCATTGCCTCCGCGCAAACGGCGGATTCCCGCACTCCCTAGTGACGGCGCTCACCGCTTCCGGGTCCGCTCGGCTGTTTCCGGATCCGCTCGGCTGTTTCCGGATCGGCCCTGGGCTCGAGGCCGAGGCCGGAGATGGGGGCACTGCCGAGCCGAAGATTCCCGAGCGGACACCCGGCCGCGGCCTCGGGACCCGCCCCTCTCCGTCTGTGTTGGGCTGCGCTGTGTGAGAGGGACGCCTGTTCTTCAAAACCCCTAAGAAGTTCTTTCATCAGAGCCCCCCTGACGTCTCCGCGTGACCTTGGATGCTCTGCTCAAATTACACCTCCTCCGGGACGCCCGCCGGCCTCAGCCCACGAAGGGAGAAGCGCCCCCAGTCTCTCCCCAGCTCCGGAGCCAGTTCCTTGCTCTACCCCTGTCGCCCTTCGCGGGAGCCAGGCTCACATTACAGCGAGTTGTGGCCAGGTTTTCCTGCGCCTCCGCCCTCGTGGAGAGGCCTGGGCAGGGCTGGGTCGGCTTCGCCTCTTTTGGGGCGTCTGACTTCCCAGCGTTGGCGGTCATAGAAATCAGGAACTTCCATGTTCCCACCCCCACTTTGCTATTCAACCAGTCACCGCTTCCTTCTAATCCCCCCTCCCCTTCCAGTGCCTCTTAAATCCCCCTTCACCTCCCTAGGCCACTGGCCTAGTCAAATAATTATCAGTGACCTCTCCCTCCAACCTGACCTTGGACGACAAGCAACTCAAAGTCCAGACTCTCAATTCCGCTTTCCCAAACCCGTTTCTCCCTCTTTAAAATAACTAACTCCAGGAATTTGGAAGTCCTTATTCTTAGTGTCCTCCTGAAAGTTCTACAAGCTCTACCTACAATGAACTGAGTATTCCAGAATGTCATTTTCTTCTCCTGCGCCAACACCAGCCCCAGTACTCTCCTGAACATCCACAATGCTTCTAACAAACTAAACATGTCCTTACTTGAACACACCAAGTCTCCACTCAAATGTTACCTCCTTCTCCAGGTCTTCCCTGACCACCCTGTCTAAAGTAGCCCCTCTACATCTGTCCACCATTAGATTACATGGGAGACTTCTCACCATCTTGCTTGGTGTTTTGTTGATTGTCTAAGTTCTTTATTACCAGTCTCCCTCTACCCTTCCATGGCCTCAGAAACTCGAATGGAAGCTCTAGGAGATTAGGAATCTTATCTTTCTTTTCACCTATTTCCCCCGGCTAGCACAGTGCCTGGTGGATAAATATAATAGTAAATGTGAGCATTTTCCTTATTTCCTTTCTCCACCTCCCCCCTCCACCACAAAAGGGGGAAGGAAGTTTCAGAAAACACAAATCTGGTCCGGTCAACTCCTGGTTCATAAATCCCAAAAGGTCCCTGCCTTCAGAACTAAGTCCAGATTCCTTGAATCTTTGGCAGGATTTCTCAAGAAGGGGATGAAATGATGACTATATCAGGGGTCTGATCAACTCTCAGGCTTGGATTTTGTTCTGCCAGCCCTAGGAGCCATTGAGGGCTGTTGAACAGGGCAGCACACGACTAATGTCAAGGAAGCTGTTGTGCGGAGTGTGGATGGAATTAAAAGAGACACAGGGCAGAGGCTGCTGAAATGGTTCTGCTTGAAGGGAAGAGTCCAAAAAAGAGGAGAGTTGATTCTAGAAAGGATAGAAAATGGACTACTGTTGGTGACTGTAACGAGAAAAGATTTCTTTCCCTCTTTCTAACTTTCTTTCTTCATACAACAAATACACCTGCTACCTTTGAGCAACAGTCAAGATCCCTGTTGGTGCAGAGTGAACATTCTGGGGCAAGAGGCCAAGGAGAAGACCAAGAAATAAACAAGCATGCTGTGAGATTTGGGCATTTGCTGGGAAGTACAGGAAACAGAGGTGTGAGATCAAAAGTACCTGGGGACTCAGGGAAATCTCTCTGAGGAAGTCACATTTGAACTGAGACCTGAGCGATGGAAAGGAGCCAAACGCATAGCAGAGAGATCCAGAAGGAAGAGCAGTGAGGGCAAAGCCCTACCCCCAGCGAGGGGGACAGTGGGAAGGTAGGGGTAGAAAATGTAGATGGGGCTGCATCACTCAGGCCTCCGAGGCATGGTTTGCAGTGTTTATTTTAGGTCAATGAAATAATGTTCTTAATGTTCTGCGCAGGGGATGGGCCCGTGAAGGCTCTAGCACATGAAGCAGCAGGGAAGCTAATGAAGGGTATTAGAGAGATTTGGTTGAGTGAAAGGCAAATGGGGATCCTGCCGCCTCATCCTCTCCATTCTCCAGTGCCCACTCTTCCGCCTCCTAGCCACCCCAACCCGACCAAAGGGAAGTGAGGGCCCGGGCAGCTGAAGGGTCCCCTGGGGTTTGCCTGAGGCAAACAGGAAGCACAGCCAAGTGAGAAGGGCCTGGGAACCAGCAACCGAGAAAGCAGGTCTCCTGGGTCCCCTGGCCCCATATATATACATATATACACATGAAGGGGGCGCAAGGGTCCAGAAGAACACATTTAAAAGGCTACGCTCCTTTCACATCCACTCAACATGTGATCTCAGGCAACACCCTGCCTTTGGGGACCTCAGTGTCCCCATATCCAAATGGGTGCTTTCCAAGAGCGAAGCGGGGGCTTCCCTGGGAAGAAATGGGAGAGAGAGGGGCAGAGTATTTGTCATTTCTCAAGAGCACTGCATCTGCCTGGGGCCTAAGCTGTTGCTCGAGGCTGTCTCATGAGCGGCTGGCCGACCCGGAGCTGGGTGCTGGGCTAAAAGTGCCGTATCTATATGGCCCTGTTTAATCGGCACAAACACTGTTGTAATAGTACTACTAGTGCCCCCAGTTTATAGGGAAAGAAGCCGACACTTAGAGAGAAATTTAGGCAAGGGGTGGAGGGGGAGAATTGAAATCCAGGTCTGCCAGGCCCCAGAGTAGGGGACAGGGCTGCTTGTATGGAGGTGGGAGGCGGTCCAAAAGAGGTGGGTTGAGAGAAGGAAGGGGCAAGTGTGCCAAGGGAAACGGATGTAGAGCCTGAAGTTGAAGGAGGGAGGAGGGAACACCTGGAGAACTGGATCCACTCATTCAACAAACTGGGCGCCTACAATGTGCCCAGCACTGTTCTGGGGCGCTGTGTATCCAGTGGCGAGCAAGGCCGTCTCTGCCGCAGGGGGGAACAGAAAGTGAGCAAGTAGACACACAAATAAGATAATTTCACAGGGTGGTAAGGCCTAGGATGAAAATAAAACAGCATAGCAGGGAGGAGGTGAGTTTTGTGGGTCTGGAGGGGTGCATGGAGGAGGCCTGAGGCATAACCACCCCTTCCTTCCCGAGGGGACTGCCCGCACGCCCGCCCCCACAGATGCTCATGGTTCAGTGCTCAGGAGGCCCCCTGCCTGCCCCAGCATCCCTTGCGAGTGAGGCTGTGCCCTGGGGAGTCTGGCCACCATGCCAGCTCCTCTCTTGCTCTTCTCCCTCCTCTTCCTTGCCCCTGTGGGAATCAGGCCTCAGGAAGCACGGCTGGTGAAGGTTACAGGTATGTGCGAAGGGCACAGATGGAAGGAATTGGGGCTGGAAATCTGGGTCTGGCTGGGTGCCCTTGGCCAAGTAACATACCCTCTCTGAGCCTCCATTTTCTTGCTTGTAAAATTCAGGGAGGAGTTGGAAGGGCTCTGCGGACTTGTCCATTCCCAGCTGGTGGGGTCCTTAGGTTTAAAATCCAGTGTGAGGAGTGAAGGGGCTAGGGGCTCCTCTTGCTCCCCCCCTCTCTCCACAGAGGGAGATAATGCTCTGTTGCAGTGCCTCAAAGACCCCCCAGATGATGGCTCCAAGCAGCTGAACTGGTCTCGGATGTCCCAGGAAGAATCCTTCTTGGCATTGAACCAAGGATCACCAGGCTTGGGCATCGAGAAGGGGCCCCAGATCTCCTGGCTGTTCTTCCTCAATATCTCTAGGCAGATGGGGGGCTTCCACCTGTGCGAGCTGGGGCATCCTTCAGAGCAGTCTGGCTGGGCAGTCAGCGTGGAGGGCAGCGGTGAGGTGCAAGCTGGGGTAGGGAGGGCTGATGAGAAGAGGGCGGCCTGCTGCGGGTGGAGGAAGACCAGTAGCTAAAAGGGATCAGGAGAGGGGGCTGGAACGGCTATTCCTAAAAATTCCTGCGGCTTTGTCTTCCACCCCATTTCTGTCTCACCACATTCTACCCACCTTTGTTTCTCCTCCCCTTCCTCTTTCTCCCCCTCCCATCCCCCCTCCTTCTGTCTTTGTCTCTGCCTGTCTGGGTTTTAGGTTGTCTCTTTCTCTCCTGGATATCTCTGGATCTGGAACTATGTCTCTTCCCAGGGGAGCTGTTCTTGTGGGACGCTTTAGACCCACATGATCTAGACTGTGGCTTGGGAAACAGGTCCTCAGAGGGTCCCGGGGCCATAAACCCCAAGCTGTATGTGTGGGGCCAAGACCACGCTGAAGACTGGGGCCCTGCATGTACTCCAAAAAGGGACAGGAGAAACCAAACCCTCAAACATGGTAAGGTGCTGGGGAAATGCCAGCATAGGGGGGCCAGGGCCAGGGGTTGGTGTTGGGAACTGGCAGATTTGGGGGGAGGAGATGAGATCCCAAGGATTATGCTTTCTTAGCCTTGGCTCTCCCTGTCCCAGAGCTCACCGTGGTCCCTGGCTCCACACTCTGGCTGCCCTGTAAGATGCCCCCTGACTCTGGCGCCAGATACCCCATCTTCTGGACTCATGTGCGCCCTGAGAAGCCTAACAACACATTGCTGCACCTAGAACTGTGGGAGAATCACCCAGACACACAGAAGTGGGTCCTGAGCGTCCTCAAGGGAGGGGCTACTCTGTTATTGCCCCAGGTTACTGCTCAAAGTGCAGGCATCTATCAATGTCACCTTGGCAACAGGACCATCAAGATGCAGCTGGAGGTCACTGCCCAGTCAGGTAGGGTTTCTCCCAATTGTGGGAAGAATAGGAAGCCAGTCAAACTTGGCACCCTCCAACCTGAGGGCTAGTACCAGCCTCATCCTGAACCCCCAACCTCTAGAATGAATACAGACTTCAACTCTTCCCTCCATGGCTTCTAACATATTACTTTTCTGGGTTTTCTCTTACCACTGGCTGCTCTTCCCATCAATCTCTTCCTTCCCCACTTCTCCCTGACTCCTCACTCGTGGAATGCAAGTGGAACTTATGTTTAAGAACTGTGGCTAGGGTAGTATGGTAGGGTTGGACTAAAGAAGACAGACTGGGCAGGATATTGTAACCAATTTGATGGACAGGGAAAGGAAAGATGGATGTCCAGGTCCTGACTTGGGTATGTGGGCAGGTGATCAAGCCCTTCACTTATTCAGAACCACCCTCTTCTTACCCTGTCTATACTCATCCTTGTCTACACACCCTTCCTACTGGACCTCCATTACTCCATGGCTCCTTGGGCTACAGTGCCTTGGTGGCTCAGTTCCAGGCTCCATGCCCCCCCCCCCAACTTTTCATCTCCTGGAACTGCCATTTGATGTCTCGTGTGCAACATATGGGCTCAACATATATAAACTCTGACTCAACATCTTCCCCAAGCATAGTATTCTGGGTGGCTCTGTATAAGTCAAGGGCATGACCAATTGGCACGAACTGAAGTCAGGAACCTGGGCAGCCTTCCTTTTCCTCCGTCCATCAAATTGGTTACAACATTCTGCCCATTCTGTCTTCCTTAATACAATCCTACCCTAACCAGAGTTATCACACTCAGCCTCAGCTGTCACTCCACACCTGATCTCGGCACACTGTTGCATCCTAACCACTCACCTTCACTTGGACCGTAGCAGGTCAACTCTGTTTCCTGCAGCAGGAAGCTGATTGTTTTGTTCCCCTTACTCCTAACATTGCCTCTGACCATGGTCATGGGTTGCTATGGTCATGGGTTGCTCAACAGAGTCTGTCCCAGGTCCCATGTTGGGCTCAGTGGTACACAGTACCTGTCCTCAGAGGAGAGAGGCGAGCCTTCCTTGTGGCTTGAGACTTGGAAGACCTGTGTCTTGCTCCTGTCCCCCACACTTAAGGCCCTTGGCGGTTCTGAGATTGGAACATAAGAAGCCAGCCAGGGGCCTCATCTCACAGCTTCTTCCCCCTGGCAGTATGGCATTGGCTGCTGGAGACTGGTAGCTGGAAAGTCCCTGCTGTGACTTTAATTTATCTGATCTTCTGCCTGGCTTCCCTGCTGTGCTTTCTTCAACTTCGAAGAAGTGAGTTATGTTCTGCCCAAACCCAATCTCATCTTCCTTGGTAGAACCCTCAGTTTGACCCTCATCTTTCTCTCCTACCCTACTACCCCCACAGACCTCGGAACCTGCCCCTCACTCCTCTCATCCCATAACCTTCCTGAGTCCTTTGGAATTTGAACTCCAACTCCCATCTCCTCCAATGAACCAAGTGACTTCCCCAGCATCCCCTAAATCTGCCAAGAGGCCCCTCCTCTAATCACCGCCCCCCCCCTTAAATCCCACCAGCCCTGATTCGGAGGAGGAAAAGAAAGCGCATGACTGACCCCGCCAGAAGGTAAAGCTGCAATGACGCCCCCACCCCCTCTGTCTCTCACTCCTGCACTTTTACTTTATGCTTCGCGCTTAGTTTCTTCTCCTCAGAGTGTCTTTTTCTCCATCTCTGAGGCTGAAATAGGGCCCACCCTTCAAAGCTCAGCTCCTAACTACCTCCCCTGAACCCCCTCAGAGTAATCTAGGCCCTGCAGCCGGGCCTGACTCTGGGGTGTCCGCCAGTACCCCCCAGGACTGGCCTCACAGTGCGTCTCCCCCTTCTCCGCCAGGTTCTTCAAGGTGACGCCTCCCCCGGGAAGCGGGGCCCAGAACCAGTACGGGAACGTGCTGTCCCTTCCCGGGCCCAGCGCCGGCACCGGTAGGAGGCACCGCCGGCTCTCCCTGCCGCGCAGCCCCACCCCCGTCCCCCCCCCGTCCCCCCGTCCCCCCGTCCCCCCGTCCCCCCGCCCCGCCCGCCCCGCCCCCGCCCCCGCCCCGCCCCCGCCCCCGTCCCCCCCGTCCCCCGCCCCCCCCCCCCCGCCCCGCCCCGCCCCGCCCCGCCTCCCCAATCCCCGAGGCTTCCGTCTTTTGGAGAGACCCCGCCCCTGGGTGCGAAGTCCCGCCCAGATCAAGCCCCGCCCCATGACACATAGCCCCGCCCTCCGGGTACATAGCTCCGCCCCCAGGCGCGGGTCCCCCTGCGCTGCAGTGTTCTGCAAGCAGAACCTCACCTGAGACGTCTGCCCCCCAAGATTGAAGCCCAGTCACTTGGCTCAGAGCCCGGTGCCCAAACCCCGAGTCCTCCCGCACTGCCCGGAGCACTCTGCTCTTGCCCTGCCTTGCGCAGAGCCTTACTCATGACGGTCCCCATCTCTTCTCACCTGCCCCCCTGCGACGCCCCTCTCGCCAGGACGCACCCAGCGCTGGGCTGCGGCCCTGGGGGCAGCCATGCAGTCCAACGGACACCAGCTCAGCGACGTCCAGGAGGCCGGAGCCGCAGCCTCCCGCAGCCCCCTGGGAGCGGGTAATTTGGGGGTGGTTGTTACTTACACGGGAGGAGGGTGTTGGAGCGCTCTGTGGCAGGAATAGTAGTCTGGGTCCAGGAAGAGGGGGCTGGTGACTCGGTTCCCAGCCCCATCCCCAAAACCCCAGGCCCAGAAGAAGAGGAAGGAGAGGCTTATGAGGAGCCGGACAGTGAGGAGGGCTCCCAGTTCTACGAGAACGACTCCAACCTTGAACAGGACCAACTCTCCCAGGGTAAGACCGCCTTCCTCCAGGGCTTCCCCACCTTCTGAGGGGGGCTTGGGGCCCTCGCTGGAACCCTGTTGTCCACCAGATGGCAGCGGCTACGAGAACCCTGAGGATGGGACCTTGGATCCTGAGGATGATGATTCCTTCTCCAACGGTAATTGGGTTCCTTGTGGAACTGGGCAGGGGAGCCCCTGCAAAGCAGGAGTAGTCTTTGGAGTTCTCTTCTTTCTGCAGCAGCTGAGTCTTATGAGAATGAGGATGAAGCGCCCACTCAGCCAGTCACCAGGAAAATAGGTGTGTGTGAGGACGGTTACATTCCCATGGGGCAGGGTGTGTGTGTGTGTGTGTGTGTGTGTGTGAGAGAGAGAGAGAGAGAGAGAGAGAGAGAGAGAGAGAGAAAGAAAGAGAGAGAGAGAAACTTGGAAGCCAGAAGGAACAGTGACTTCCTTCCCCTTGCTCCAGACTTCCTGAGCCCCTACCGGCAAGGCTGGGACCCCAGCCAGGAGGCAACCTCCCTTGGTAAGAAATGCTAGGAAAATCTCTGCTTTGCCCAGATTGGGCTGACCTGGCCTCAGCTCTGACTCCAGGCTCAACCTTTACCTTAACTTTGACCCCAAGCCTGATCTTAACCTCAGTACCCACCCAGCCCCATTCCTTACCCCAGTATTTACCCATCCCAAACTGGGAACGTCATTACAGATCCCATTCCGGTTCCAACCTTGGCTTTGACCTCCATCTCACCCCAGGCCCAGTGCAGACCTCTGCTTTGACTCTAGCTCTCTCTATAACGCCTTATAACCATGACTTTGACTCCTTCAGTCTGTTCTTGCCCTTTTTCTGCTCATGGCCATAAACTGACTCACGCTTGACCTAGTCTTACAACTAACAAGGACCCGGAACCAGATGCTAACCCTAATCACTCCTTCCTAGTGCCACATGGGTGCTCCCTCCATTTCTTAAGCTGTACTTCCCTTCCCTGTGCCCCAAGCATGGCTCCCAGGCCTCCAACTCTCCATCCCCTGCCCAAGCAGGGTCCCAGTCCTATGAAGACATGAGAGGGATCCTGTATGCAGCCCCACAGCTTCGCTCCCTTCGGGCCCAGCCTGGTGCCAATCATGAGGAAGGTGGGTGTTTCTCTTGTTGTCTCCTGAGGTCCTCTGAGGCTGAGCCCTTCCCAGTCTACTTCCAGCTTTACCTTCTTCCTTGTCCTAACCAGATGCAGACTCTTATGAGAACATGGATAACCCAGATGGGCCAGAACCAGTCTGGGGAGGAGGGAGCAGCATGGGCACCTGGAGCACAAGGTGATTCCTTCAGGTGAGCTAGGAAATACCCTGTAAGGAAGGGGACAAGAAAGGAGATGTGAAAAAAAAAAAAAAAAAAAAAAGAAAGGAGATGTGCAGGGATAGAAGTAGAGTACAGCTCTCAAGGGGCAGAGGGGAAGGGGTTCCCAAGGCCTGCTGGGCAGGAAGAGGGCTCCTGAACCCCAATCCATCACCATTTCTTCTACAGAGCCTGGTCCTCCTCAGACCCCTGAGATCCACACCTAACTCTGAAATCTTGGGACCCCAAGTAGACCATGTCAATCTCTGAGCAGCATGACTCAGGATGCGCATATCTCTGCATGTGTGTGTACGTGTATGTGTGTGTGCACACTCGTGTGTGTATATAAATGGACCTGTGTGTATATAAATACCCCCTTGGCACTACCCAAATAAACTCAATGAGCTCTTCTAATCCTGTGACATAGCGGCCTGTGTGTGAGGGGAAGGCAAGATGAGGAGGGAGAGCTGCATCCAGGGCACAAAAGACTTTCCCTCCTGGGCCTTGACCTGACCCATTTCCTCACTTGCCCGCCATTCCTAGCGTCCAGTTATTCAGTCATTGCTCATTCAGCACTTGCGTGCTGGGTGCCCAGGGCAGAAGCCATCCAGGAGTTAGAAGCTGCTGCTGACATTTATCGAGGATCTACTATGCTCTCACGTCAATTAACTCACCTAATCCTTGGGCACTTATGGGCTGGGATGGCAGCACAGTATTTTATGTACATGTGTATTAGCTCATTTTGTCTTCACGAAGACTCTTTTTTTGTGTGAGAAGACTGAGTTCGAGAAGCTAACGCTCGCCTCGTGGGACCAGTACTCGGACTCTGGCAGTCTAATTCCAGAGCCTGGACTCACCATCGCCACCCTCCCTTCTTAGGAGGATGGGCTTCAGGGCCAGAGGCCGAGGCACATGTCCAAGTGCACACGGCTAGCACTACGTCAAGCTGGATGTGGCTCCAGAAATCTGACAGCAGCTGTAGCCACTGTGCCAGCACCTGACAAACTGTGCCCACTCCTGCCAAAAACCCTGAACACAAACATTGCAGAGTTACAAGTCCCCGGGCCCTGGAAATGTCAGGCAGCAATCGCTACTACACCCACATTCTTGTCTCAGGCACAGGCGGGATCAGTGACTGATCTGGTGTCTCTGCTGGGTGCCTAAGGCTGTCTTCCCCTCCAGGGATCCTCTGAAACCTGGTCCCTCATCTGCTCGGGAAGAGTCAGGACTTTCTAGACTGACGAGATTTTTTTCAGTATCTACATTTTTATTTCTGGAATTTCTTAATGTGTCAACTCTTCAGAACACCCTGTTTTTGTTTTGAAGACTGTTCTTTTTTCATCTCTGAATCTTTTTGTTTGTTTGTTTTAAGATTTATTTATTTATTTAATTTATACAAGAGCTGGGGCACAGGCCAGAGGTGCGGGAGGGTGAGAGAATTCACCAGAGACAGAATGGGGAGCAAGACAGGCAGACAGACTGAAAGCACTGCTGAAGGGAGCAGCAGGCGTGACAGGAGAGGTCAGTCGCGCCATATGGGAATCTCCCTGGCCGGCCTGGTCGACTGGGAATCGAACCACGCCACAGAGGCTATGGACAGCCTCACGGCGTTGCGCTCAACCTGCTGCGCCACCAGGGAGGCCCCACCCCTGAATCTTTGGAACTTATTTAGTATTAACACTGTCATTATGGATCAGGAATGGCTCTAAGTGCTCCCTGAGCAGTGCCTCCCTCAGCTTTACCAGAGGCCTGTGAGGAAAGTCGAACAGCTGAGGAGACTGAGCCCCGAGAAGTTCACTCCTTCAACTGCTAACTGACCTAAAGCTCAATGACCCTCTGTTTCCCCAACTGTAAAATAGCGTTAGGGAGGAGGTGTGGAATGGTCACTGGGGCCTGGAGTGGGGTGAATTCTCCCATGGTGATATCTCCAGGGAAGGTTTGTTTGATTCTTTGTTCCTCTGCCTGCAGGAGTCCCATGAGTTCCCTGAGCCCCACTGATACCCCCTGGGGGCAGCGTGCTTTGGCTTCTGCCCCAGTCTTACAGGTTGCACAGGTTTCTAACCATTTTATTCATGAGTTTTCCAGAGCAGGTTCTGGCCCCAGAGGTTTGGTCTGAATCCAAGCCGACAGGTGGCTGAGCCTGGTGATTCTGATTTCCCTCAGCGACTTTCTGTATCTGCTGCCTCTTGGGGGACTTGCTTCCATGCTGTCCCAGGGCCTGCAGATGGATTTTTTCCTTGGTTTTCTATGCCCAGCAGAGATGCCCCCCTCCCTGCTCTGTGCAGGACACTCAGTCACAGCTCTCTATTGTTCTTGGGCCTCTGTCTTAACCATTGTTCCCGGGTGGGTGTTAAAACTCCAGTCCCGAGAATCTTCCCCTCCAACCCCACCCTGGGCTGCTTGACTTCAGCCCCTTCCACTACTGTGGCTTTGATTTCCTTCTTTATTTCTAGCACCAGAAAGATCTTTGCTTTGGAGCCCAGCTATTAAAAAGAAAAGCACATAAGAAGCAATGCTCCTTTTTTTTATTTTGCTTTGTGTATGTTGGGGGTGCAGGAGGTGGGACGTGAATCGCCAGCATTTCCTTGGACAGGTCATTATGGCAAAAAACAAAAGACAAACACAACAAAACAAACCACATCCAGCCCAGGATTTACTCCCCATTTTCCCTTCAGTTAAAATAAGCTCTCCAGGGCCTCCCTGGTGGCACAGGTGTTAAAGTCTCAGTGCTATCAAGCTTTCGGCAGCCACTCAACCATGAGTTTGATCCCCAGCTGAGGAGCTGGCCCACATGGCACAGCAGACCTCTCCTGTCTTGCCTGCTGCTCCCCTCAGCGGTGTATTTCAGTACATCTGCCTGTTCTGTTTCCCACTCTGTCTCTGGTGAATCCCCTTACCCCTGACACCTCTGGCCTACACCCCAGTTCTTGTATGCATAAGTAAATAAAAACAAATCTTTAAAAAAATAAGCTCTCCACATTCAGTTAAAATAGTCCCCACCAGGGCCTCCCAGGTGGTGCAGCGGTAGAGTGCTGGGTTGCAAAGCTGCCCGCGGCCTCTGCGGCGCCGGTTCGATCCCTGGCTGCTCCCCGGCCACCGGAGGAGGGTCCCACATGGCGCGCAGACCTCTCCTGCCGCCCACTGCTCCCCTCAGCAGTGTACTTCAGTCCTTCTGCCTGCTCTGCTCCCTACTCTGGCCTGGTGAATTCTTTCACCCTCCTGCGCTTCTGACTGTACCCAGTGCATGTATAAACAAAACAAACAAACAAACAAATAAATAAATAAATAAACATGCCTCTATTAAAAAAAAAAAAAATCTTAAAAAAAAAAAAAAAAAAAAAAGAAAATAGTCCCCACCATTCCCTATTACCTTTTTTCCAGGCCACTCATTCAATGACCCTCTGTTTCCCCAATTGTAAAATAGCGTTAGGGAGGAGGTGTAGAATGGTCACTCGGGCCTAGAGTGGGGTGAATTCTCCCATGGTGATATCTCCAGGGAAGCTTTGTTTGATTCCTCCTCCCCTGAAACATTTGAGTATGTGGTACCTGGTGAAGACATCCTGCTTTCTTGAGAATTAATCTGTGCCTGGGTCTTCTCTGCCCCAGCTAGGGATTGACCAGGAACTCATGACCAAGATCAGGAGCTCAGGAAATGAGTGGGGGAAGCAGTGAAGGAAGGATTGTGAAGGTCTCGCGATTTAGGGTACAGAGAATGGAGCCAGTCCTGGAACTTGGCCAGTCAGGGAAGTCTTGGGGAGGTTGAGGAACAGAGGTGTATTAGCTCCAGCGCAGTGCTGGAATCTATTTGGGTGTGATTGCTAGCTTCCTCTCCTTCTAACTGACTGCATTCTCCTGGTCTGTGACATTAGCAATAATAAGAAAAACTACTTTAATGAAAAGTAAAGCACACCAAAGCCATTGACACCATTAGATTTGGGCTTCCTCCTGGGCAAGACCCACATGGAAGGAAGCCACGCTCCCAAGCGTCTCAATTTCCCACCCAAGACCTGTTTTTTTGGCAGGGGGTAGGACCCATTTTTTTTGGCAGGGGGTAGGGCGAGGAGGAGGCTGGAGGGAAGCCTTCTGGGTCACTCTCTGTGTCCCCAGTTGGCAGCAACCTTCCCAGTGGGGTTCACAGCTGGGAGGAGGAGGGCCTTTGTTGCCATCTCTCTGCTTCCAACTGGTTACAAAGAGAGGCTGAAGATTTCCTGGGGCTGGGAAGGCCTTGAAGTCCCCTGGACTAGAGTTTGGGAGCCATTGTTCCTTGGGAAACAGCCCCACCTACTGGGGGTTCTCACCTCAGTCTGTGCTGGGCTGAGTCAGCCTGAAGGATTTGAGTTGGATTGTTTGTATGGGGGATATCAGTGTGATGGGGCGGATGGGATGCCAGTGATGGTGGATGTGTTGTGCTAGTTGGATGTGTGAGGTATGGGTTATGTGAACATGAATGTGAGAGACATGTGGTGTTGGGGGGAGGCTGTGTGGGTCTTGTGTGTGAAGCGTGGGGTGCTATAAGTTGTGAGGTGTCAGGACACATGTAGTTGGAGGCTAAAAGTGCTGAAAGTGTGTGTCTGTGCTGCATTGAGGTGTATATTGTGCAGGAGTGTCAAATGAGGTAGATGTAGCCTCTGAGGTGCTCTATGTTGGTGGTGGGTGTGTGAGGGAAATAAATACAATTAAAACCAAAATCTTCTCCCCATGCCAGAAAATCTCTCCAAGGAGATAGCAGAGACAGAAAACAGTTTTGTTATTGCGTAAGCATTGCATCAGCATGGGATGTGACCACACACAAAATCCACCAAGACATTGCAAAGGCAGAAAGAGATCACACCCTTTTATATAGTCAAGCCGATACAACCTGTTATCTTGTTTTCAAGATAAAATCTCAAGACCCATGTCTTGTTGTCTAGAAGAACAACAAGGACTCAAGCAAGAGACTTGACAAATCATCCACAGTGCACCCTACCAGTCAATATAATGGAGGCACCACTGTGTTAGCCAACTGCCTTTTACCTGAGGGACAAACTTGTTTTTATGACTTGAGGTAGTTTTGTAGACTGCAGCAAGGCCTCCATAGAGGCTAGGCTGTTATTCTCCTCCAGGAGCTGGGAGGTAGGGAGCTATGTCTCTTCCTGTTTGCATTTGCCTTGAACTCTGCCTGTAAAAAACCGTGACCTTTACCTTCTTCTTAAAAGAACTAGAATGGAATGGGAAACATCTTCCACCTCTGATCTGATCAGCCTAATTAACCAATTATAGCCTGGAGATTTGTTGCTATATCTAAAAGGACAGCAGAAGAAATCTGCAACAGTTGTCTACCTCTTCCAATCAGCCATGGCAACCTAAATCCAGACCAACTAGTAATCCTAGGAACACTTATCATTTCTGCAAAGGACCTGGCCATGGGGAGGGCTGCCCTAAACTAAACTTTCTGAAGCAGCCCAAAAAAACCCAGCCCTCAGCCTCTCCAAGCAGCCTGAGGCTGCTCCGAGGATAAACAAGGGTTTTTTTTCCAATGTTACGTAACCTCTGAATCAACGAGGATAAACGTTTCTGCGACTGGAAATGAGATCTCACCATTTTTTTTTTTAAGATTTATTTATGTTTACAAGAACTGGGGTACAGGCCAGGAGTACGGGGGTTGTGGGGGTGAGAAGATTCACCAGAGACAGAGTGGGAAACAGAACAGGTAGATTGACTGAAATACACTGCTGAGGGGAGCAGTGGGTGAGGTCTGCTGTGCCATGTGGCTTGCTCCCTGGCTGGGGATCAAACTTGTGCTACAGTGGCTGCGGTTAGCTTCATAGGTTGCATCTTAACCCCTGCGTCACCAGGGAGGCCTGATCTCACCATTTTGACGGACACTGTGTTGGGGGAAAGGATGATAAGTCCTTTTAAGCGCGCGGGTGAGGACCCACAGTCAGGCAACCGGTTTTGTATTGGGCCTGCCCTGTAACAACTGGGGCAACTCTATCTGTGCTCCAAATAGCCCCTTTCTCAGAGTACTGAAAAATCCAGATGGTGGGTATCTCTAGTAAACCCCAAGTGCCTCCAAGTCCTTTAGGGAAAGGACTGCATTTTCCATTAGGCCCTCTATAGGACAACCATCCCTCCAGATGTGTCCCCTTACCAACCCCCCCCACCCCGCCCCATCTCATGTTCATTTATTAGGGAGAGATAGGTTTACAGTAATAACAGGCTACCGTCTTCTTTTCTAAAAAAGGGGGAAAATTCTCAAGATTGACTCAACCCCCAGTTTTGCTGGGAGCATCAAAAGTCCTTCAGCACCTCTGTTTTTGTCCTTCAACCGATCAACAGGAATTACAAGAGCTCAGCCCTCTTAGAGCAGTTCCCAAGAACCTGGATGAAATCATATCAGATGTCAGGCAGATTCATTCAGCTCCCCTCATAAAAATTCAGGTTAATTCTAGCAAATCTCTCCCTAACATCAGACAGTATCTTTTGAATCCTAAAGCCCTTGCAGGAATTAAGACTCAAGGTATTATAATTCCCTGCACTAGTGTCGGCAATATAATCATTCTCCCAGTAAAGACATCTGATGGATGAGGATGGATAGTCATCCAGGGCCATAAATAATACTGTCATTTCCCAACACCCTTTTATCCCTAACCTGCTTACTCTCTTGACTTCTATTCCCATGGAGGGAGGGCACATTCTTTACTGTCACTGACCCCTGCAGTGCTTCCTTCAGCATACCTATAGACCCTGAGTGCCACATTTTATTTGCCTTTTAAATGAGAAGGTCAACAATGAACTTGAACTGTGATGCCACATGCCACACTGAGAGCCCTTTCTACTTTCCACAGATTTTGAAGGCACATTTAACCTTTTCAAGTGGTTCAACTTGTTTACAGTATGTGGATGATCTCCTTTGTTCTACTTCCAGGGAAGCACATAAAGAGCACAGTGTTCACCTCCTCAGATTATTAACAAAGGTCAAAGGGTCTCTAAAGAAAAAAACTTCTATTTTTCATACTCAAATAAAGTCCTTAGGACATTTGATTTCAGATGAGTTACTCTTTCTGGCCCCTGACAGTGTTGGAGACCCCTAAGGCGGAAAGTGCTGAGACAAGGTCATGACTGGGAGACTGGCCATGGCTAAGACTGGCCAGCACAGGTCGGGAGACTGGGAAACAAACTAGATTAGAAAGCAGAACCTTGGCGGTATATGTGTGCCTGAATAATGCTGAATACTAAGAAATAACAGAATAAACCATTGTATTGTAACTAACCTAGGGGGCGGTCTGTCTCAAGAAATAGGAGTTGCTCCTGACACTCGCGACGCTTGCCCTTGTACTGAGAAGCCTTGCGTCCCCTGGGTCCCGCTTCTCTTAAACTCTATTTTGTGTCTGTCAATTCTTTGTTTCTAATTTCTTTCTGATCCCTCACCTCAACCCTGTTCACTGGGGCTGGTCTGCGGCACGAAAGGTCTCAGAACATTTTAAACTTCCCATAGTTACAGACTAAATGACAACTTAGGGGATTCCTATCACAGGATATGGTAGGAACTGGATGCCAAACTTCTCCCTAACAGACTAACCCCTGTAGAAACGATTGAAGTTTGGCAAACCTCGCAGTCTCAATATCAGTGAAGCTGCCATATTGGACGGACTATTTTTCCCTTGCCTAGGCATATGATCAGAAACTCACCTAACGTTATGGGATATTGCTGAGTCTGATGCTAAAGTAATAGCCACTCCCCCGACACCCAAATGTTTGAATTCCCTTGCAAGAATTGTATTAGACAACAGAATTATGCTTGTATTCTGTAAACATGGAGTTTGTTCTATCGTAAATACCTCTTAGGGTATGTAAGAAAATATCTTTGGTGATGCAGACACAACCAAACAAAAAATGGGCACAGATTAAATGGTTAATTGTGGTGCCCACTGGCTCTTTGACCTCTTTAATGGGCTGCCCTGTTCAGACTCCTTGTTTAGGTTTATTCTTCAAGTTGGATTTAGGATTCTGTTTATTATAGAAATATTATTTGGGGCCTCCCTGGTGATTCAGGAGTTAAAGTCTCAGTGCTATCAAGCTATCACCAGCCACTGCATCATGAGTTCAATCCCCAGCCAGGGAGTTGACCCACATGGCACAGAAGTCCTCTCCTGTCTCGCCCGCTGATCCCCTCAGCAGTGTTTTTCCGTAGCTCTGCCTGTTCTGCTCCCCACTCTGTCTCTGGTGATCCTTTCACCCGCTACTCCTCTCGCACCTCTGGCCTGTACCCCAGTTCTTGTATGCATAAATAAATAAAAACAAATCTTAAAAAAGATATTTTTTGTAAAATTTTGTTTCTTTTTTGTGACTTGGGGTCATAAAAACCGCCATTAGGTAATGGTTGCCCAGAACTTTGAAATGATTGCTAAGGCTTATGAGACCACACGTGAGGAACTTCAAGGATCACGGAGGTAAGGCCTCTCTCTGCTGCAGCACTCTTTTTGCTCAAATGTGGCCCACAGACTTTCCCTCCAACAAGGTCATGCCATATGTGGAATGTGTCTTCCTGGCAAGGAGGAATCTCATAGTGAAAAAAAAAAATTAGCAATGCTTTCTAGTTATTGATCAGTGATGCTTTCATAGAAAACTCTCTATCAGAAAGAGAAATGTAAAATCTTACCTAAGTGGAGCCATTTTTAAAGGGAGTAGGACCGTGCCATTACAGAGAAGCAGCTTTGTTTGGCTTGTTGGAATAGGCCAGATGTTTGCACTGTGTCAAAGTACAACTGTTTTAAGAAACCATCAAGCAATTGTTTAAATAGAGATCTTGGTCACCAGGAGCACAAGGACTGGTGGTGACTGTGGACTTGTTGCCAGTGGATTGCGTCAGTAACCAGTTACGATTAGCCAAGAATAGCTTATGCCTGTTAGTACGAAAGAATTCTTCTTTTAACCATTTACCTCATCTTCTCCCACTTTTTTTTATCCCATAAAAATTCTTGACTTCGGTTCCTCCATAGGACACTATTTGGGTATCTCCAGGAATCTGTGCTCCCTGAATTGCAACTTTTTGACTCCAAATAATAAATAAATGTTTGGTGCCCCTCATCCTAGTTTTTTAAATTGTAGGCTGATGATACATTTGAAAAGGACAGGGAAAGAAAAGGGCTGGCAAGTCGGTTGGGGAGAGAAGTCTCATAACTTCTTTTCTTTTTTTTTTTTTTTAAGATTTATTTATTTATACAAGAACTGGGGTACAGGTTAGAGGCAGGAAGGGTAAGAGGATTCACCAGAGAAAGAGCGGGGAGCAGAACAGGCAGACGGACCAAAGACACTGCTGAGGGGAGCAGCGGGCAGAGCAGGAGAGGTCTGCCACACCACGTGGGTATCCCCCTGGCCGGCCGGGACTCGGGTCGGGACTCGAACCGGGTCTCTCCCTGGCCGGCTGGGAATCGAACCGGCGTTGCAGAGGCTGCGGCCAGACTCACAGCGCTGCGCTCAACCTGCTGTGCCACCGGGGAGGCACCTCAGGAGGTTAAGGGGGATTAAGCTTCTCATTTTTCATTTGTGTTTGTCCTTCCAGATGTTGTCTGTGAGGCTTGTGTGCTGACTTTGTGGCTCACATGTGTCCGGCCGGTGGTCTGGTGTGAGGGAGGGTCAGTGTGTTGCTGTAGGTACTTCTCCCTGGTGAGCGAAGACTTGGTCTGGGGTGTGCACGCGAGGATTCTGCACGTGAGCGGGGGCGTGCAGGAGGGGGCGGGGTTCAGAGGAGTCACTCAGGCCCACGACGCGGTTGGGAGGCACAAGAAAGTGGCAGCTCGTGACGTCTGCCGCCCAACTCCACAGCTTCCAAAAGCAATTCCCACCCCGCTTTCGCCCTTTGTGGCTCTAGGGCTTGAGGACTACAATTCCCAGGATGCTCGGTTTTTCCACCAACCACGAAAACGGATCTCTCCAGTTGGGCGGGCCTGGGAGCAAGTCTGTCAAGAAGAGCGGCCGCCCGGCCAATGGGGAGCCCGGCGGAGCCCACACCTCCACTGATTGCGCGGAGGCCGATTAGAATCTTTGGCGCCTTGGTCTCAGTGGTGGCTGCGTGATGGGCGGGTCTAGCGGCCAATGGAAAGGCGGGAGGCGAATCTAGATAGTGTGGGCGGGGAGACATGTTGATTAGCAGCTCGTTCGCCCAATAAGGGGCAGAAGCCGCTGGAGGGGGCCGGGCGAGAGGAGTAGAGGCGGGCAACTGTGGAGGACGGGTGTGTGCCATGGCGGAGCCCCTGAGGAAGCGCGGGCGGCGGCCCCGAGCCGGCGGGGCCGGCCGCGGTGCTCGCGGGGCCCGGGGCGGCCGGGGCCGGCGTCCTCGCACGCAGCGGTCTCCGGCCCGGCGCACCTTGGACTCGGTGCTGGTGGACTTGGTCAGCGAGAGCGATGAGGATATCGTGGAGGTCGAAGCGGCGCGCGGCGCCGCGGACCCGCCCGAGGTCCCGCTCCCGGAGCCCCCGGTGCCGGCCGCGCCTCGGGGCGACAGCGACAGCGACAGCGAAGGGGCGGACGCACGGCCGGATGACGCCCCCCGGGCCCCGGTGCGGCGGCGGCGACGGCTGCTGCTGGATCCCGGGGAGGCGCCGGCGGTTCCGGTGTACTCGGGGAAGGTGCTGCCAAGTCCCGGGAGGGCGAGCGCGGGAGGGCTGGGGCTAGGGGTGCTGAGGAGAGGGTTCGGAGGTAGGTCTCGGGGGACTAAACAGAAGCAGGGTCTAGGGTCTTGAGGGTAGAGAGGTGTAGGATTCCGGGGTGATTCAGGGGTTTGTCGTGTGTTGAGAGTTTGGGACTCCGGGGAGCGTCGGGACTAAGGGGGCTGAGGGGAGCTGGGACTGGGGTTTGGGGCGTGTTGGATTTCTAGTTAGGGAACCATCGCAGGAGGTCCACGAAGCTGGGGTATTGGGTGCCGGAGGCTCGGAGAGGACCAAGAGGTTGGGGTCCTGCGGTGGTAGGGTGAGCTGTGGGGCTGGGTTCCCCAGGGTGCGAGATAAAGACATGGCCAGCAGCCTGGTAAAAAAGAACTAAGCTGCATCCTCAGAGTACTTCAGGGAAAGGGAGTGTGTGTGTGGGGGGGTGGGGGGGTGGGGGGGTATTCCAATTTTGCCTCCTGGGAAGCTGTGCTCCCGAATCCCCAGGAGGGGGCTGTGGTGTTTGCATCCTCAGGGAGATCTTGGGAGTTGGGAGAAACCCTTGTGAGAGAGAAGCACCCAGGCACATTGTCCCACCTTTGTCTTTGCAGGTGAAAAGCAGCCTCCATCTCATCCCAGATCACCTGCCCCTCCTGAAACTCTGCCCCCCAGGGACTGAGGAAGGTAAGGGAGGACTTTCTGGGAGAGGCACCCAGAGCTGGCCTCTCTGAGGTGTGACCTTCTGGAGTTTACGTCCCTGCATTTAGTTGTTTCCTGAGACTCAGGGGAAGGGCACAGGAGAGGTGACTTCTGCTTCCTAGCCAGAAAAAAGCTCTTGAAAGGAGTTGGCTTTTAACCGAAAAGGTACAGGAAATGCCTTTCCCAACTTTCACAGGCATAAGCGTGTGCTAATACATGGATTTCCAAGTGCCACTGAGATTCTGAGATTCTGATTCTGTAATCCTTTGGTGGTGGTGGTGGTGGTGGGCGGGCATGGAAGGGGGGAGGTTGCTAAGAATCTGTAGCATCTTATCACATCTGCGCAGGTTCCTTGGGAATGTTCAGGAGCCACCAGGGTGTTCTTTTAATCCTATCAGGGCTCCCCGGTATTGTCCCCCCAACCCCAGTGGTGTGATTTTTGCAAATCTTTCAAAGCAGTGAATGGGGGAGCCACCCCAGTGGCACAGTGGGTTGAGCCCAGCACTGTGAAGCTATCTGCAGCCTTTGCATTGCCAGTTCGATTCCTGCCCGGCCAGGGAGATTCCCACATGGTGTGACAGACCTCTTCTGTCTCGCCCACTGCTCCTCTCAACAGTGTGTTTCGGTCCATCTGCCTGTTCTGCTCCCTGCTCTGTCTCTGGTGAATCCTCTCACCCTTCTGTGCCTCTGGCCTATACCCCAGCTCTTATATAAAAATAAATTTAAATCTTAAAAAAAAAAAAAACCTTTAAAAAAAAAAAAAGCAGTGAATGGGAATCAAGTATAATAAGGTGATCCAGTGGGCAGATGCAGACTTGGACCAAGATTTCTGTGCCATGAGGGAGAATGGTGGGATGATGAATAACAGATTTAGGAACCAGTTGGTCTGGAATTGGATCTCAGCTCTACCTCCTTCATAGCTGTGTGAAGTTAGTCAAGGTTATTACTCTCTTGGTGCTTCAATTCCTCAACTGGAAAATGGGAGTAATCTTAGACCTATGTCAATTTTGATGAGCAGTAATTAAAGAGAATATATAGAGAACTTTCTTTTGGGCTCCTTATTTGGTTTAGGATGGTAACTGAAATGGAGAAGCATTACTGAAAAGATTCCTCTGTTTTTGCTATTTGGGTTTAGTAGTGTTGGGTATCTCCCTAGAGCTTGTCAGTGATGCAGAATCTCAGGCCTCTGGCAAATGCCATATTTGGCTAGGACAGAATTTCTTAGCTTCAGTACTAACATTTTGCACTGGAGAGTTCTTTGTTGTGTGGGACTTGTGTATTGCAGGGAGTTTAACAGCATCCTGCCTCTACCAGCTAGATTCCAAACCCCTCCCCCTCATTGTGACAACCAGAATATTCTCCAGACCTTGCCACATGTCTCCTGGGAGGCAAAATTGCCGCTGGTTGCAAACCTCTCATCTAGGATTTATTTTCACAGTATTTATTTTTATGGTTAGTGATGATCTTTATGGATGGCAAGCAAATAGAAAGAGCTTCTATATTTGAGAATAAAACTTGATTTTCTTTTATAAGAATTTTAAGTTAAAAGGAGTGATTTAGGGCCTCCCCGGTGGCGCAGCGGTTGAGCGCTGGGTTGCGAAGCTGCGCGCGGCCTCTGCGGCGCCGGTTCGATCCCCGGCTGCTCCCCGGCCACCAGAGGAGGGTCCCACATGGCGCGCAGACCTCTCCTGCCGCCCGCTGCTCCCCTCAGCAGTGTACTTCGGTCCTTCTGCCTGCTCTGCTCCCCGCTCTGGCTCTGGTGAATTCTCTCGCCCTCCCGCGCTTCTGACTGTACCCAGTGCATGTATAAACAAAAACAAACAAACAAACCAGCAAACAAATAAATAAAAAGCATGCCTCTATAAAAAAAAAAAAAAAAAACTTTAAAAAAAAAAGGAGTGATTTAAAGCAAAGCATTGAGTAACAATACAGAGATATAGCAGAATGTGATAATAACACTCACACAGATGAAATTTGAGAAACATGGGTTTCAGGGCCTGTACTTATCTCTACACCTTACTCCCTCCCTGCTTCAGCCTCCCCACCCACCCTAGACTCACATAATCTCTCTATACTCACCAAATTGAGCACGGGAAGAAAATTAAACATTAAAAAAAATCATCCTTTGACAAAACCTGTTTTACTGTATGTCCCATAACACACATAGTAGTATAGTACAGATCTAGTTTCTGGGTTGTGTGCTCAGTAGTTTTTATTGGTGGGGTGCATGTGACCAAACAAGTGAGAGAGAGCACCCTGCTTCAGCTGGAGCAGGCCTCTTGCTGACTGCTCCTGTTCAGCATGCCATCTCCCACCTTAGCATGAGGCTAGGACACTCGCAGCTCTGACCTGACAAACTCCAGCTCATCCCTTTCTCTGAGTTAGCTGTTTCCCTCTTGACTGACATCTCTTGAACCTCCCTCCAGTATTCGTCTCTGTGTATCAGGGGGTCCTGCTGTCTCCTTTTTCAGGACCTTTGGAATCCCCTGACTTGTTTCTCCTCAGCTCCCTTTCCCCTCCTTGGCTTACCCTTTCCACTTTCTCCTCTGCCTCCAGACACAGACATGGCAGAGTCTAATAGTTCCCGTGCTGAGGAGCCCCCTTTGCTAGATTATCCCTGGAAGAAGCAGCTAAGGAACGAGGATGAAGAAGAGAAGAAAACAATATTTCTGTGAGTACGGGGGCGCAGGGCCATAGGAGCATAAAGGGAGTTGGAAGTAGGCTGAGGTGGGCAGGACCTGTGGGTGGCTCCTGAAAGGGTAAGGTGAAAGGTTGGAAGGAGCCTGAGGCTCAGGTGAGGGAAAGCTCTGGGGAGAGGAGGTGGGGTTGACATCTCCGGAGGATGACAGCGCTCCTTCAGGGCCCCCTGGGCAGTGTGGGGTTAAGGGTATGCTGTCCCGGTGGCCAGCTGTCTCTTACCTGCCCTCGCCTGTGCTCTCCATGCTTCCCTTTCCTCTTGTGTACCTGGGGGTGGGATTAGCAGCTGTGTCAGAGAGGTTCTGAGTGGTTCCAGAGTTTACTGGGCATATGAGAGTGCTGGGGTGTGTTGGATGTTATCTCTCACCCAAGAAGTGATGTATCATAAAAGCTGGATTTATTTTCCTTCCTAATAGTTGGGTCATATAAGTATAAAAATGATGACTCAGATTTTCCTTGGCTTCCCCACCTGCTGTCTTCCAGTAGGAAGAATGTTGCCAGAAGTGCTTCCTCTGATGTCTAGCTCTAGCGCCCAGGGGCCTACAACTCATAACCTCTTCTTCCATCCCCCTTCTCTTCTCTCTGCAGGTCTCAAGATGTCTCGCCACTGCCCACACCTTTGTCAAGGACCAAAAGCAGAAAACATACTCGGGCACTCCAGAAGCTAAGGTGCCAAGGGCAGGGGGACGCTGGCTGGGTTGGAACGCGGCAGTCTGGGGAGTGCTGACCCAAAGTCCTTGTACACTTAGGGAGGTGAACAAGCGCCTCCAAGATCTCCGATCCTGCCTGAGTCCTAAGCAGCGCCGGGGCCAGGACCTCCTGAGCCAAGAGGACGAGGTGGTCCTAGTGGAGGGGCCCACCCTTCCCGAGAATCCCCGCCTCTTCCCCCTCAAAATCCGTTGCCGGACTGACGTGGTCAGATTGCCTGTCAGAATGGTAAGTGCCTTGGGGCCTCCCTCGTGGCGCAAGGGGTAAGCACAGCACTATGAAGTTATCCGCAGCCTCTGCAGCACAAGTTTGATCCCTGGCCTGGGAGCTACCCACATGGCACAGCAGACCTCTCCTGTCTTGCCTGCTGCTCCCCTCAGCAGTGTACTTCAGTCAGTCTGCCTGTTCTGTTCCACACTGTCTCTAGTGAATCTTCTCACCCCCAGCACCTCTGGCCTGTACCGCGGTTCTTGTATGCATAAATAAATAAATCTTTTTAAAAAAAAAAAAAAAGAATGGTAAGTGCCTGAAGGGCCTGTGGGAGGAGGTCCTGGGAGCTGCCTGAGGTGGCACTGTGGTGTCTGGGCAGCAGAGGCTGCTTTCTTGCCCCTTCCTGTTCTCTTGCCTGTGAGCTTGCTCTTCCCTTTGTCGGGGTGTTCCTCACCCCAACTCTTTCTGACAAACATCCTGTCCATTCATCAAGGCTCTGCTTAAGCATCCTAAGAGCTTTGCTTGGTCGTTCCCTCCTGAGGGGTGCGTCCTCTCCCGCTTCCCTTCCCTGGGACCTGTGCTTGCTCTTGCTGCATTACAGGCACTGATGTCACTCAGTCATTCTGAGCTCCCCCACATTCCTGGTGGAGACTATTGTTACAGTAGGGAACACCCTGATTCCAAACCAAGAACAACAAATGACCATTTGTTGAGCAGTAACCCTGCATTGGGCACACAGCTGAGCCAGGGTGGCAAGCTGTGACCCTGTAGCCTCATTGGAGGCATATCTTGTTTTGCTCTGTAGAGTGCTTTTAAAGTATAGGAGTTCGTGGCCAACCTTTACAGTGGGGGGTTTCATACAGAGGTCCAGCCGTCTGACTTCTCTTCAGGAGGAAGATGTAGTCATCCCAGCCCGTGTTCCCATGTGGTGCCAATCCGCGGGCGCTGCAGAACAGCTGCCTGTTCAGGGGGGGCATGTGAGTTCGTTTGCTACAGTCCCCGCCACTCTCTCTTTTTCTCCTAATCCACAGCTGCTTCATCTCTTTGTGTTACTTGCCTGAACCCCTTTACTGACATTTTATTCTCTCTCTTGCCAGGTAAATATGATGAACTTCACACCTCAGGAGCTGAGCAAGTAGCAAAGGCCAGAAACTTGTTTTGGGGAGTGGGGTGGGGTAGGGCACATTAGGCAGAAAGCCCTCATTGTTTCTTCTCCCCCTTCCCAGTCGGAGCCCCTACAGAGTGTGGTGGACCACATGGCTGCCCACCTTGGGGTGTCCCCAAGCAGGATCCTCTTGCTCTTTGGAGAGACAGAGCTGCCCCCTACTGCCACTCCCAGGACCCTAAAGCTTGGAGTGGCTGACATCATCGGTGAGAGGATGACAAGGAGGTGGAACCACAGGGGGAAAATTTGGGGAAGGCCCAGAAGGGGGTTCCCCCTCCCCACCCCCAGACTGAGACTTGGCCTCCTCATCCACCTTCCACAGACTGTGTGGTGCTAGCAAGTTCTCCGGAGGCTACAGAGACATCCCAGGTGCTCCAGCTGCGGGTGCAGGGGAAGGAGAAACACCAGATGCTGGAAGTCTCGCTGTCTCCAGTGAGTGGGAGGGACTTTGTCCATGCACTTCCTCCTTTCTGCACTGTTTCTTGTCAGACAGGACTTGGATAGATGCCTCCTAATCCTAATGCCTCGGTGGTCTGGGTGTTCCAGCTCTCATCCTGGATAGTGGAAAAATCCCATGGTTCAGCTTCCTTCCCCGCTTTGAGGAGAAACTCTGCTCTGGTCTGTGCATTCTCTGTTTCCTAACTCTTCTTCTGATTAAAATGCACAGGAACAAATAAGCCCGGTGAAGATAACACAGCTACATTTCTGCAAGACCGTCTCTGTGCTAAGTGAGAATAGCTACATTCAGGGTGTTGTTTAAGTTCACAGCAGTCTTACAGGAAAGCACTGTTGTTACCCCATTTAACAAATTAGAAAACTGAGGTCTAGAGAGGTAGAGTGACTTGCTATGTTTGCTTCCCAGAGCTGCTGTAAAAAATGCAGACTAGGTGGCATAAAGCAGAAATTTATTCTTTACAATTTTCAGGCCAGAGGCCTAAAATTGAGGCATCACAGGGACATGCTTCCTGGACTCTGGGTGGAATCCTTTCTTGCCTTTTGTAGCTTCTGGTGGTGTCTGGAGTTTCCTTGACTTGTTGCCCTCATCATGCTAGTCTCTACCTCTGTCACTACCTGGTGGCCTCTCCTCGTGACTTAATATCCACCTATGAGTGTGACCTTATAGTAACTGAATTATATCAGCAAAGGCCCTGCTTCCCAAAAAGTCACATTTAGAGGCACCAGAGGTTAGATAGGACCACAGGTATCTTTTTGTGGGGAAGTAATTCAAACCCGTAACTAAGGTCACATCTAGTAAAGCCGGAGAGCCCAGCCTCCAGTGTAGATCGAGCTCAGATGGAGCCGCTTCTCACTGTAATGCGAGTCTCCATTGGTGAGTCAGGAGCTGGGCCCTGGAGGAGCTGTTTGACCCAGAGCCCCCACTTCTAAGCTTGGTGCTCTATGACCCATTTTCTAGAGGAAACCAACTACTGGCTTCTCTGCCTACTTGCCTTCCCTTTGGTGGACTGACTTGACTCAGTCCTTGTCCTCCCTGTCCCCAGTCCTCTGTCCCTACATGTTCCCCAACTCCTCTTTTCCAATTCTTAACATCCACTTTTTCCTCTTCAGGATTCTCCTCTCAAGACCCTCATGTGCCGCTACGAGGAGGCCATGGGACTCTCAGGCCACAAGCTCTCCTTCTTCTTTGATGGGACAAAGCTCTCAGGCAAGGAGCGGCCAACTGATCTGGGCATGGAATCTGGGGACCTCATTGAGGTCTGGGGCTGAAACCCCACTCCCTGTTTGCAGGCCCAGCCTGGACTTGGGGGGGACTCTCCCTCTATGGCCCTATAAGGGCTGACATAAGCTGATGCAGCAGGAGTGATCTTTGGCCTCCTCTCCTCTGACCCTGGCTTTAAGCCATTAGTTCCCTGGTTTATTGTGGGGTTGTTACTCTGGGTGGACTGTGGCTCCAGCCATGATGTACTGAGCTTTGCAGCCTCTTGGGACACAGAGATGTCTTCCCTCACTTTTCATGTCTACCGTCACCCTTTCCTTCATTGAAACGTCTGTCCTATGAAGCTGCTCATATTTAAAGAGTGAACTGAAATATATGAGGGTTGGGTATGGGGTTCCAGGCCACGGCCTTAGTGTTGTTTGGGGGCAGAGGGTGAAGTTTGCTTGCAGTGCATGTACAGATGTGGGTCCTTAGCTTGCAGAAAATCCATGGTCCTGCTCACATGTGCGTTAGCTTAAGCATAGGCAGACAGTGGGCTACTCTGTGGCCCTCAGTCTTGGTTATCTTTCTCAGCTGCCTTCCTGGTACACACACATTCTTTAAGGCATATCAACACATTCCACCTTTTTGTTTTAAGTCTCAGGATTATGGTCCATGCAAAGCTTTTCCACTTTTATGGCTTTGCTTTCTTCACACCGTCCTCACCCATAAGCACCCATTCTAGAGTGTTAATTACAGGCTTTTGAATATGAATGTATCCTTGTAAAATGTGTTATTAGTGTGACTACTTTTTACATGTTTCATCATTTTGTAGACATTACGCTGTTGCTTATTTTGCATCTGCTTTGTTGCTTTGAACTGCCCTGTGGTGTTTCTACAGTGGGGTCCCTGTGTTGTACTTGCACCTTTGCTAGGTTGTGGACCCCTGCGGCTTCCAAATCCCCGACACATATGCAAGGCCACCCTGTCATGTGTTGCCTCCTGTGCTAGTGTGAAAAGTTCTCTGGCCCAGGTACCCAGGAGGGAATGGTGGGCCATACTGGTTAGTTTCTAATTTCTTTTTAGCATGATCATTGACACCCCTCATCCCCACTGAGACACCCCACATCTCATCCTCTCTAGCACTTGCTATTGCCCCACTTCCTAATTTTTGCCAGTTTAATGGGTATAAAGTGGTACGGTGTTTTAATGTACATTCCTCTAATAACTGGTAATTTTGGGAATTTCTTCATCTATCAATCTTCTGGTTTCCCTTTCTCTAAACTGCTCATTTATCTTTGCTTATTTTCTTATAGGGGCTTCCTGTTATTTTTTTAGTTTATTCTCAAGAGTTGCTCTTATGTTTCTGGGCAGTTGGTACTTGTCCTTGTATACCTAGGGGTATCCTTCATTGCACAGAAATTTTTAATGTAGATGAATTAGTTATTTTGTCATTTGTTGCTTTTGGATTTCTTATTTAAAAGTAATTATCAGGATAAGGTAATTAAAAGCTAATAGGAATTTGTCTTATAAAAAGAGTAATGTAGAATATATAATATGACCACACACACAAAAAAAGTAGTTATTTTACATTTTTTCCTGTTAGCTTACTAGTTTCTCCTTTCATATTCACGCGCTCATGAGGGCTGAAGTCCAGCATGTGCTGGTGCGTGTGCTGGTGTGTGTGCTGGTGGGTGTGCTGGTGTGTGTGCTGGTGCGTGTGCTGGCTGCCATCTGGTCTGCACGGTCAAACAACTATTCTCATTGGTTGATGCCAAGCTGTATTGGCTGCTAAAAATTGACCTATGACTTCTAAATTATTGATCATTTATACCTTTGCGGGAGCCAGGTTTTATTTTTGCCATATGATGAGCCAGTTTTCTGAGTGCTGTCTACTAATAAAGCCATTAATTTTCCACTGATGTATAATTTTGGCAAAAGTATGTTACCTTCCTAAAATTTTTTTTTGTTGGAATGTGGCATTCCTTTGTACTTATAATGCGGGGGAAAAAATAGAGAGCTTTATCACATTTAAATAGTCCATGATATGGTGTAACCCTTTTTTTTTCCTTCAGATTTCTTATGTTCGTTGTTTGAATACATTAATGTATTCTGTCTCAACAGAATAAATGGAAATACATTCAACTTGTGTATACTTGAGGACTTCTGTCTTTGTGACCCTCACGAGGACCCCCTCCCCATGTCCCCTGAGACAATTAGTTGTCCCTCATCCATTCTTTTTTCTAGGGTAGGTAACAGAACCCCTGTTTTTTTTTTTTAAAGATTTATTTATTTATGCATACAAGAACTGGGGTACAGGCCAGAAGTGTTGGGAGGAGGTGAGAGGATTCACCCAAGACAGAACGGGGAACAGAACAGGCAGACTGACTGAAATACACTGCTGAGGGGAGCAGCGGGCGAGTCAGGAGAGGTCTGCTGCACCATGTTGGTTGCTCCCTGCCTGGGGATCGAACTCATGCTGCTGTGGCTGCCGATAGCTTCATAGGCTGCATCTCAACCCCTTGCGTCACCAGGGAGGCCCCTAGAAACCCTGGTTATTAGCAAAGCACAGAGAGTTCAGAATGAGGAGAGTCTGTGGGAGGGAAAAGGATGTGTCTGTTAGTGACACATGTCCCCCTCTCCTTTGCTGTCTTCCTGCTGCTGACTGGAAGTGGAACAACCCCACTGACATGAGGTGACCCTGGGAAGGAAGCCACGTAGGAGAGGACAAGGGAGAGGAAAGCCTAGGTTTCAGCCACCATGTGTCTTAGTGGCCCCACATTGCTGACCTCTGGGCTCTTCTGGGAATGGGGAACCAGTATCTTTAAATCACTGCTATTTGAGGATTTCTGTCCCTTCTAACCAAACCTGGTTCTAGCCCTGGGAGATTGGTATTCCCAATGATAATATAGTGATCTGTCTGGACACCTAGGTGAGATTTTCTCAGGTTTATTTCCAGGCGTGGAATCAATGCATGTTGAACATGTCCTAGCCAGTCTTGAGTACAGTCACTCTCTACATCTGTGGGTCCCCCATGGGTGGATTTCTGTGGGTCAAAAATGAGTGCTATACGGTTAGGTCTGTAATGGTTGCATCTGTACTGAACATGTACTGTCTTTTTTCTTGTCATTACTCCTTACACAATATAGTATAACAACTATTTACATAGCTTTTACAGCATACAAGGGGTTATAAGTAATCTAGAGATGATTTAAAGTGTAGATGTATATAGATTATATGAAAATACTATATATAAGGAACTTGAGCACCTTGATTTTGGTATTCCCTGGGGTGCTAGAACCAGTCCCTTGTAGAAACCAGGGACTAACTGTTCTATCAAATTACTCGTCAAAGGACTTGGACCTCTATAAGTCCATTACCAAGAGCTGGAAGGTTCCACTTTCCTCTGATCTCCCCCAACAATCTGGATAGGATATGGGAAAGACTTTACTGTAAAATAATTTACATTTCTTCCATGATAAGAGATTACTCTTCCTTTTGATCAAGGAGATTGATCACCTATCATGTGATTTATCACAAACTCCCTTGATTAGAAATCTTGGAAACTATAATAAGCCCTGACTCAGTGCTGTATACTAAGCTTGGAAATTTTCATCATATCATTCCTCCTTGGAGCAACTTGTGTATACTTGAGGACTTCTGTCTTTGTGACCCTCATGAGGACCCCCCCCCCCACCATGTCCCCTGAGACAATTAGTTGTCCCTTATCCATTCTTCTTTCTAGGGTAGGTAACAGAACCCGTTTTTTGTTTTTTTTTTTTAGATTTATTTATTTATGCATACAAGAACTGAGGTAGGTAGAAGAATTATTCCCATCTTACAGAAGAGAAAGAAGCTTAGAAAGATTTATTAACCTGCCCCAGACCACACAGCCACCTAATGTAAAGCTGGATGTGGAACCAGGTAGCCTGACATAATTCTTTTTTTTTTTATTTAAAGATTTATTATTTATTTATTTATACAAGCACTGGGTACAGTCAGAAATGCGGGAGGGTGAGAGAATCCACCAGAGCCAGAGCGGGGAGCAGAGCAGGCAGAAGGACCGAAGTACACTGCTGAGGGGAGCAGCGGGCGGCAGGAGAGGCCTGCGCGCCATGTGGGACCCTCCTCCGGTGGCCGGGGAGCAGCCGGGGATCGAACCGGCGCCGCGGAGGCTGCGGGCAGCTTCGCAACCCAGCGCTCAACCGCTGCGCCACCGGGGAGGTCCCTGACCACGCTTTTTAGCAAGATGCTATTTTTGCATTTTTCTTGCAGCTTTGCACCTTTAAAGCCTTGTGTCTGCCCAGCCCTGCCATTCCAATGCTCCAACTTCCTCCACAGAGTCCGTGTGACTGACGACATGTTCTTGTGGGTCCCATCTCAGCTGGGAATGGAGTCGAGCTCAGTACACCCATACATTCATTGATCTGTGTCATTCTTTGTATCTTGTTCTCAAAGATCCCTACTCTTTGTGTATGACAAATAGTGGTTACCTAACATGTTTGTTGAATGAATACATTAAGTTCCTTGTCCCAAGAATCCCAAAGTATCACCGTCCAAAACTTAGTTTTACTACTTTTCTTTTTTTTTTTAAATAGAGGTATGTTTTATTTATTTATTTATTTATTTATTTATTTTATTTATTTATTTTTGTTTATGCATGCATTGGGTACAGTCAGAAGCGCGGGAGGGTGAGAGAATTCACCAGAGCCAGAACTGGGAGCAGAGCAGGCAGAAGGACCGAAGTACACTGCTGAGGGGAGCAGCGGGCGGCAGGAGAGGCCTGCGCGCCATGTGGGACCCTCCTCCGGTGGCGGGGGAGCAGCCGGGGATCGAACCGGCGCCTCAGAGGCCGCGGGCAGCTTCGCAACCCAGCGTTCAACCCCTGCGCCACCGGGGAGGCCCCAGAAACTTAGTTTTATTCTTAATGACACCTCCTTCATCCCATAGCATCTCCATGCCCAAAGCACCTCACCTGCCTCCGCCTGCCCGCAGGGACACCACGAGAGGGCGCAAGGACTTGAGTTGGTGGGGAGGAAAAGCCAACTCCAGACGTGGCTGGCGGGGTTCTGGGGATGCTTCAGTGTCTACAGGGAGCGCTCAAGGGGTTGGCTGGGTAGAGGAATCCAAATTGTAGGGCAGGGGGCAGTGCCAGGCCGAGGCTGGGGGCCGCTGCTCAACATTCATTCATTCAACACTGAGCGGTGGAAACCCACACCAGGCGTGAGGAAGGGAACGGTTACCGGGAGCCAGATCTGTTCGCTGACATTTCTAGAGACCACTTCCAGGACCTTGTGAAGTCCCACGATCTCGTTTGGGAAGAAGCCGGCCAGGAGGGTCAGTGTCGCACATTAGGAAGCCGAGATCGGGGCCCGAGGGGACTTACTGCTTCTCCGAGACGGCCTCTCGGGGGGCAGTCCCCGACGGAACGCAGCCGCAGGCTGACGCGCTGGTCCGGGTTACTCAGCGACCGGCCGCCGGTCACGTGATGGGGGAGCAGGCGGAGGAGCCCAAGGGGCGGGCTCGGCCGGGCGCCGCGGCTTCCGTACCCGGGCGCGGGTCACGTGTGGAGGGCTTGTGGGCCCAGGCGCCCACCGCCCGGCTCCAGCGTCACATGACCGGCCCCAAGCCAACATGGCGGCGGCCGTGGTGCAGCGCCGGGGCTGAGCGACAGCCAGTGTAGTGGCTTCTACCCGGGGTGAGGGGCGGCCTTAACCTGGGGCGGGGGCGCAGGGCGGTTCGGGCCCTCCTCAACCCGCAGCTCCCCGACATCACCCGAATTCCCCACCGCAGGACGGGGAGGCGTGACGGGGCCCGGGTTTCATCCCAGCCGTGCTCTGTGCTCGGGGGCAAGCTCCTTCCCGTGTCTGGGCGCACCGCCCTCGCCTGGGTTCCCTCCATCCTCGTTTCTCCAGCCTCCTCCCCTCGCAGGTGGGATCGTCGGTGGGACCGCAGCGCGGGCGGGCGCGGTCCCCGGGGACCATGGCCGGGTCCGACACCGCGCCCTTCCTCAGCCAGGCGGATGACACGGACGACGGGCCGGTGCCTGGCACCCCAGGGTTGCCGGGGATCATGGGGAAACCGAAGTCCGAGGATCCGGAGATCCCGGACCGGGAGGGGCTGCAGCGCATCACGGGCTTGTCCGCGAGCCGTTCCGCTCTCATAGTGGCTGTGCTGTGCTACATCAACCTCCTCAACTACATGGACCGCTTCACCGTGGCTGGTACCGACTTCTGGGAAGAAGACGCGGGGAAGGGAGCGGGGTCCCGGGGGTGGAGCTTCGTTGAGGAGCGCACCCTGAATCTTCTCCTTCCCAGGTGTCCTTCCGGACATCGAGCAGTTCTTTGGCATCGGAGATAGTAGCTCCGGCCTCATCCAGACCGGTGAGTAGGGGCCCTTCCAGGCACACAGCAGCCCTTCTTCCCTTTCTAGTCGCGGGCCGCCTGCTGGAGTGTCTGGGGCGTCCCAAATGATCTAGCAGCTGCAGCGAGGGGAGCAAAAGACTGATTCCACTCTGGGGCAGCCGTGTTCAGTTGGGATAGCAAATTTAAAGGGGAGTTGCTTTAGTGTAATGGTTAAGACAGGCCTGGTTTGAAGTCTCAGTTTTCCACGTACGCAATGTGTGATGGTGGGCACGACCCTCCGCCTCTCTAAGCCCATTTCTTTGTCGATGAGACTTGAACTAGTAATAACCCAGATCACCTGGACAGTATGAGTAGGTGACATAAGGCTTGTGACATGCAGAGTGCAGTGTTGGGAACATGGTAGGAGAGGATGTCTGGAATGGGGAGAACTGCATTTCACTTGTTGAGAACATTGGATTTGTGGGAGAAGTCAAAGGAGGGCCAAATCCTCCCTCCCCTCTTTCAGTCATTTCTTGAATGTTTCTGAGCAGCCATTATGAGCACTTTCTGGAAAAGGTGTTGATAACATTTTATTTTATCTTTAAAAAAATATTTATGCATACAAGAACTGGGGTACAGGCCAGAGATGTGGGGGATGAGAGGATTCACCAGAGACAGAGTGGGGAACAGAGCAGGCGGATTGATGAGAATACACTGCTGAGGGAAGCAGCGGGCGAGTCAGGAGAGGTCTGCTTTGCTATGTGGGTAGCTACCTGGCTGGGGATTGAACTTGTGCTGCAGTGGCTGCGCATTGCTTCATAGTGCTGCATCTTTGTGCCACCATGGAGGCCCCAACATTTTATTTTTTTTTTGTGGGACCCTTGCCGGCGGCCAGGGAACCAACTGGCGCTGCAGAGGCTGCGGGCAGCCTTGCAGCCCAGCTCTCAACCGCTGCGTCACCAGGGGAGGCCCAAGGAGGCCCCAACACTTTAATGACTGTTGTGTTCCATCAGCCAAGGACTAGGTGTTCTTATTCTTAGTTTATAGAGAAAAGAGGTAGGATGACCTACATTTCATAAAGAAACAGTCTTGAAAATGAGTGACGTCTCACCCGGAGTCACACAACTTAGAGGCAAAACAAGGATTTGAAACCAGGTCTTGCAGTGTTCCTTATGCGACTTCAGGCCAAAAAGGAACTGGAGATAGTTAGGGTTGTCTGGGGGAATGAGAATGGGATCATAGGTCAAAGTCTGCAAAGCCCTAAAGAGTTGTTGAATTCGAGAAGCACTAAGACTTCATTAGCAAACCCATTTCTTCCTTTTTTCATTCAACGTGTGTTTATCGAGCATGTTTCATGCTAAGCCATGTGTTAGGTGATGGAAACATAGTCGTGGCCAGTACAGACCTTGGCTTCTGGGAGCTGGTATTCTACTCCGCATAAACTAAATGTTAAATGAAAGAAAACAGTGCAGTGAGAGAAGGGGGCTGGATGTGTGGGGGTTGTGATGGTATCTGAGCTGGAACCTGAAGAAACTAAACTCTGTTATGCTCAGGGAGCTGAGAAAATGTTCCAGATAGTGGGGACAGCAGGTCTCAGAACCCCTAAGATGGTATTGGGCTTGGCAATTGGGCTGTTGGGGTGCAGGGAAGAGAAAGTAGGGAGCATAAGGTTGGGGCGGGGGTACTGGCTCTGGTAGCTCACTATGGGCCATAGTATGCAGTTTGGGTTTTGTTCTTGGTTGGGTCGGCGGAAGTGAAGAGTCATCTGGATCATCCATTCTACAATGGCAAGTTTGAAATGCATTGAAGATGGGGCTGGACTGTCCTCTGGCAGGAAGATCTAATCGAGTTAGAATTATTCCTGCCCAATCCATTCTCCCCTGTCTCCCAGGTGGGATGATGGTGCCAGGGCTGGGCTGTGACTCTCTGCTTCCTCCTAGTGTTCATCTCCAGTTACATGGTGTTGGCACCTGTGTTTGGCTACCTGGGTGACCGGTACAATCGGAAGTACCTCATGTGCGGGGGTATTGCCTTCTGGTCCCTGGTGACACTGGGGTCATCTTACATCCCCAGAGAGGTGAGACCTCAAGCTGGCTCCTGCTTCTTCCCACCCCACCCCCGACTCAACCACTGATCTTTACTGTTGCCCCTTGGGGTCTTTACAGCCTGGGCCCGGGGAACCTGTGCATCTTATACCTGTTGCTTGCCTGAGTTGATCTGCCCACCCAGTCCTCTTCCCATCTTCCAGAATCACCTTCTAGCCATCATCCCTGTTCCCGCTGAGCACTGACTCTTTCCACTCACACGAAAACATTTCTCGACTGTGGAAAAGACCATACCTGGATGGCCTCTCCCCTGCTTCCTAGTCAGATTTCCCGCAAGGCCCCCTTGACCCGCCTCCAGTCTGGGTGAAAGAGCAGCCAGGAGAGGCTCTCACTGTGCCTGCACTTCCTCTCCCCTCTTGCCTGTTGAGCACTGCCAGCTGACCTCCCCCACCACTCCAGTGCCAAAGTCAACAGTGACCTTTTGGGTGCTAAATGTAGCTCCTACTTCCTAGTCCTGTTCTCACTAGATCTCCTGTGAGCCTCTGGCTCAGTTGACCCACTTTCTTCCGGAAATTCTCTTTGAACGTCTGTGACACCACTCCTGCTTTTCCTTCTGCCTCCCTGCCCGTTTCTTCTTTGCCCCTTTGAAATATCCTCTGTGCCTCACTCCCTGCCCTGAAACTCTGTCCTCTGTCCCAGGCACTCCAGACTCTCCTCAGGTGATTACACCTTGTCCTTAGCTTCAGGTGTCTTTGATCGACAAATGAACCCCCACCTGGGATCATTATTCAACATTGGGGTGTGTTGGGTAGGTGGGTAAGATAAAAATTAAGCACTTGCTGGTACAAGGTAATGGGGTAAACCTTATATTGTCCAAACCTCACAATAGTTGTGTGAACAGTTGTTATTATCCCCTTTTGCAGATGAGGAAACTGAGGCTCAGAGAGGTTAAGTTGCTTTTCCAAAGTCACAGCTAGTAAGTAAGTAGTGGAGCCAGGATTCAAGCTCAGGTCTGTCTGCTTCTAAAATCTAGACTTCTCCTGCCATCCCTGCCGCCTCTCCAGAGCCAGCTGGTGAGGTAGGCAGGGGGGCTGGCCGCAGGGTTGGTGCCACCCTCGCCATGTCTTATTCCTCAGCGATTCTGGCTGCTGCTCCTGACCCGGGGCCTGGTGGGAGTTGGAGAGGCCAGTTACTCCACTATCGCACCCACGCTCATTGCTGACCTCTTTGTGGCTGACCAGCGGAGCCGGATGCTCAGCGTCTTCTACTTTGCTATCCCAGTGGGCAGGTGAGCGGGCCTTGGACTTGGTGGCGAGGCAGAAGGGCCTGGTGTGGGGGACATAACTGACTGGCTGTCCCCTCTCCTTCCCTACTCCTCCTCCCCAGTGGTCTGGGTTACATTGCAGGCTCCAAAGTGAAGGATGTGGCCGGGGACTGGCACTGGGCACTGAGGGTGAGTCTGGTCATGCCCGGGGAAAGGACATCAACCTTCTCACAGGTGCTCTTGTTACCCTTAGACACCCCGCTTTTAGTCAGCACGCACTCTTCCAAACCTGCAGCTTTACTGCTCTCCCCTCAAAGTTATGTGCTAGACAGAACGTAAAGGTAACAGAAACCTAGTGCAAAACTAAGCCCCCAGATGGTACTGTATTGGTTCTCAAAATGGGAAGTTTCTAGTGAGCTCCAGGTAGAGCTGGATCCAGGGCTTTCACACTGTCACAGGAATTTGATCATTCTTTCCTCAATTCTACTTTCCTTTGTGTTAACTTCATTCTCAAGCAAGTGAAAGCTTCAGACATTTTCTGTTAAAAAACATTGGCATCCTGGCTCCTTGAGCAATAGGTCTGAATGATGTGTTAATGATTAGATGGACGAGGATCACATGCCTACCACGGATTTAGTCACAGGCTGAGGAGGTTAGCTCTGCTCTCTTGGCCAAGTCTGGGTTACAAGCCCTCCCCTATTTGAATCACATGGATTGAGAGAAGTGGACGGAATGGTTTCCTGAAAGAAACTTAGGGTGCTGTTACCAAAGAGGTAGCAGTTTGGCTTAACAAATGGGGGCCCCAAGTGATGGTTGCCCCTCTCCAAGACTGCAGGTTCAGCTTCCTTGAGCAGGCCCTTACCTGGCTGTGTGATCTCTTAGACCTGAGTTGCCTTTACCACCCTCACTTTCTCCTAGCCCTATGGGTTGGGTGTGTCCCTGCTTCTGCCTGTCCTGAAATCCACTCTTTCCCCAGGTAACACCAGGTCTGGGAGTGGTGGCTGTTCTGTTGCTGTTCTTGGTAGTACGGGAGCCCCCAAGGGGAGCTGTGGAGCGCCACTCAGACTCTCCACCGCTGACCCCCACCTCGTGGTGGGCAGATCTGAGGGCTCTGGCTAGAAAGTAAGTTTAGTTCCATCATAACCCTATCTGTGAGGCTCATAGTGAAGACCTGATATCTAGGTTCAGATTTTTAAGTGGGTCTGGTCTTTGCCTTCCCACCTGCTAAACCTACCTCAGGCCAGGAATTCAGCTGTGACTGCTCCCTGGTGACTTCTGACTGAATTACAGGCCCAAGTCCTGGGACCCAAGACAGTCCCTTTATCCAGTGCCCTGACCTTATAAAATAAGCCAACAAGGGATGTCCCCTCCCCTGACACTCAGGGGAGTCTGACATCCTTCCTTTTAACTGTCCAACAGTCCTAGTTTCATCCTGTCTTCCCTTGGCTTCACTGCGGTAGCCTTTGTCACGGGCTCCCTGGCTCTTTGGGCTCCTGCATTCTTGCTGCGTTCCCGTGTGGTCTTGGGGGAGACCCCGCCATGCCTTCCTGGAGACTCCTGTTCTTCCTCTGACAGGTGCTTGGAAGGGGTGGGACTGGGTGGCCTGCTGGTGGCAAGGGATTGGAGCGGAGACACAGTGATTCAACTCAGGCAAGAAGAGTTTGAATTTCGAGAAATACTTCCTCTCCCAGAGTCTCACTCCTGGTCTGAGAAATAGAAATAAGACAGTGCCTTCTCTTGGAGCTTTGTGAACCATGGCGTGCTGTGTCTGGATAGGCCTGCGTTATGAGGGTGGCTGGGATGAACCATCTTTCTCTCCAGGCCTTCGGGACAAGGCTTGGGGGCTTTGCAGGCACAGTGACTAGTCCCTTCACCCCTCCTCCCTCAGCCTCATCTTCGGCCTCATCACCTGCCTGACGGGGGTCCTAGGAGTGGGCCTGGGCGTGGAGATCAGTCGCCGCCTCCGCCGCTCCAACCCCCGGGCTGACCCACTGGTCTGCGCTGCTGGCCTCCTAGGCTCCGCACCTTTCCTCTTCCTGGCCCTCGCCTGTGCTCGTGGTAGCATCGTGGCCACCTATGTGAGTAGCTGGCGGGTTGAGGAGGGTGTTCTGGCTCCAGAGTGGAGTAAAGGTACCGGGGGGCAGGACTGGGATCAGCCAGCGTTGTGATTTGGAGCCAACTCTGGGACAGGAATACCCAGTTTGGAATCTCATCTCTGTCCTTTCCCAACTGTGTGACATTAGGCAAGTGACTGAACTGTTCTGTGCTGTTTTATCATCTGTAAAATGGGAATCATAATATTGGCCATTTCATCGAGGTGTCGTGTGGATTGAGGGAGTTACTAGGTAGGCCTGGCCTGTGGGAAATGCTCACCTTTGCTCTTGTGATGAGAGCAACAGGCCTGGCCCCCCTTTCCTCAGATTTTCATCTTTATTGGCGAGACCTTGCTGTCCATGAACTGGGCCATTGTGGCTGACATTCTGCTGGTGAGTAGGGGGACTGCTCCAGGGCTAGCCCAGAGGCGGATGGGGGCAGGAGGCCTCCCTTGCTTTGCCGTTGAATGATAGCCCTTACCCCTTCCTCAAAACCCAGCCCAGACTGACTTCAGAGTCTTGTCATGGGCCTGTGGTCCTGTCTTGCCCTGCCCCCCAGTCCCACTTCTGCAGTGGGGTCCACCTCTGACCTTAGCCTTGGCCCTGTCCTCACCCTCTGCCTCCTGCCTCTTCTCCCCCAGTATGTGGTGATCCCCACTCGTCGCTCCACTGCTGAGGCCTTCCAGATTGTGCTGTCCCACCTGTTGGGTGATGCTGGGAGCCCCTACCTCATCGGCCTGGTAAGCACTACCCCTTGACTAGGCCAGGGGTGGGATCAGGGGGTTCTGCATGCCCAATACAGGCCAGTGGCCAGGGTCTGAGCCTGAGCAGAACTGGAAGGTCTGGCCCCAGTTAGACATCTACGTCCTCTGTGCCAGAGGACCTTGGCCTTGGCGTCTCAGCTGGACTAGAAGGAGGTCTTTGCAGATCTCAACAGTGAAGGCACGGACCTCACATTGGCGGTACTGGCGTTTTTTAATTTTTCTGGAGGGTGGGTCTACTCTGCCTGACTTTGTCCTGCCTCCTCCCTGCCCTCCCTGCAGATCTCCGATCGCCTTCGCCGGAGCTGGCCCCCCTCCTTCTTGTCTGAGTTCCGGGCATTGCAGTTCTCACTCATGCTCTGCGCCTTCGTTGGGGCACTGGGCGGCGCGGCCTTCCTGGGCACCGCCATCGTCATTGAGGACGACCGCCGGCGGGCCCAGCTGCATGTACAGGGTCAGTTGGGCCTTATGTTGGTCTGCCCACAGCTCCTTGCCCCACTTCATGATGCCTCTGCTGGACCCCATCTGCCTTTCCCGGGCCTGTGTACCTGACCCGTCTCAGTCCCCAGCTTACCCTCGTCTGCTTCAGGTCTTCCTGTCTGAAAAGCTGGTGCTCCTGTGTGTCCACAGCTCAGCCTCTGCTGCCTGTCCGTTTCCCGTTGCCTGTTTGTCGCCTTCCTGCCCTCACATCTGTCTGTGCACCCAGCCTGGTTCTGACCCCTCCCCCTACAGGTCTGCTGCATGAGGCAAGGCCGGCAGATGACCGGATTGTGGTGCCCCAGCGAGGCCGCTCCACCAGGGTCCCTGTGTCCAGTGTGCTCATCTGAGAGGCCCTCTTCACCTGTCTGCACACCCACCATAGCTGACTCTGGGTTGACCCCGGTGGGTGCTGGGCCCAAACCCCCAGCCTGGCCCCACTTCTAGGAGGACCACTGGGCTGTGTTCCAGCTCCCAAACACTACACGGGCAACCAAGCGCGCAGGAAGCGGGGATCCACGAGGGGGCTCCTCCCCCGGAGCAGCCCCAGGGGCTCGGTGCTATTTGTAACTAAATAAAATTTGTAGCCAGACCCCAAGAGCCTGCTTGAGTCTCTTTGCATGCTAATGACTTCCGACCCCTGGACTGCAGGGGAGAGCTCCTCTCAGCACCAGGGTTCCCTGGGGATGGTTGGGTCACTTCTGTAGGGCCTTGGTAAAATCCCTGCCCTCTGGGCTGGGCGAACCAGAGTGGAGTGAGCTGGCTCGGTGTGACTGTGAGTCACACGTGTTTCCTGGGAGCCAGCCCCCCTCAGCCGGACAGGCCAGCCAGGGTGAGGTGGGGGAAGGCACTGCCCTGGGCTCCTTGGAATTCCTGTGTTGGGGCCTCCTTGCTGCCTCTTCGGACCCACAGATGTGACTGGCTTTCTGGCTGCTGGTTGGCCTGGGGTGTCCTTCCTCTTATCTGGATAGGATTGCCCCTGGTCCTAGAGGCCAGCATGTCCTTGGGGGGGCCTGAGGTACCGTCTCAGGTCTCCTCTCCCTCCCCACTGGCTGGGTGGGGGTGGGAAGGGGGCGGGTGCAGCAGCCTGAGGAGCCCGATGATTTCCTGCCCTCACCCGGCGCTCACCACAGCTTCCTGCCACAGGCGGGCAGGCGCTGAGGAGAGGCAGGCGTCTAGCCCAGGGGCAGGTAGGGCTGGGGCGCAGGGCCCGAGCAGGGGTGGCTGGTGCCCCAGACTCCAGCCTGGGCCCTGCCCAGATCGCCCAGGGATAAAGGTCATCCAGAACCCACGCTGGCCCCCATTTAGCCCTGTAAGGGGAGGGGACCCAGGGAGCCCCCCAGGAGGGCATAGCACCAACACCAGCTGGTGTCCGCTTGGACCTTATACCCCTGCTGGCCCAGCCCTCGCCCTGCTGCAGCTCTGGGCTAGAGGGGCAAGCGGCTAGCAGCCAGGCCTGGTCCCAGCCCTCCGCTGCCGATGGAGGCGGCCACCCTGCTCTCCTACGAGCTGGGCCTCCTGCTGCTGCCGCTCCTGGCCGTGTTGCTGATGGCACTGTGTGTGCGCTGCCGAGACCTGCCAGGTGAGCTGGGGGGATCACCAGAAGCTGGACACGCTGAGCAGCCTCCTCACCGCCTTCCCCAACCCCTTAGTCCGTCTAGAACCGTCCCTAATTCTGTCCTGCAAACGGACACACAGTGCCCAGACTCCATCCCCGTCTCCTTCCGTCACCCGCACTCCTGTTTCATGGGCCCTCTCTCCCCAGGCTCCTACGACAGCGCTACCTCGGATAGGTAAGTCTGCTCCCCCAGCCCCGGCCTCTCCCTCAACCTCTCGCCTGGGCTGGGTTGGAGCCTTTCCTGGCCCCCCACCCAAGCTGTGTCTCTCCTGCCAGTTTGACTACAGGTGGCTTGATAAAACCATCTGGTGAGTACATGGAGGGACCCCCATTGGGGGTAGGGGCTGCCTTGTTGAGACAGCGTGTGCCTTTGCTCAGTGTCTCCCTTTCTGACTTCCCACATGGCTGTGGCCTGAGCTGGGGGTGGGGAGAGAAATGGGTGCCTCCTGGGCACGGGGGTTGAGGGGATTCATCTGCCTTTGAGGGTTAGGTGGAGGTAGGGGTGTGTGTCTGGAGCTGCTCCTTCAGGTTGGTCCTGTGTCCTCAGCCACGCTCAGCCCCTGGCTACCAGTCACTTCCTACCCGCCTGTTACCTCCTATCCACCCCTGAGCCAGCCAGACCTGCTTCCCATCCCGTGAGTAGCCCTTTTGTCCCTCGCCCTCCAAGTCCTACTCTTTACTCCCTCACCTCCTTGTATCGGGGGCTTCTTTCCCTGTTGTAATCCCCCCTGGCCCCAGAACTCAGTCCTAGGAATGACCTTTGACCCCTGACTCCCAGGAGATCCCCGCAGCCCTCTGGGAGCTCCCACCGCATGCCAGCCCCCCGGCAGGACTCAGATGGTGGTAAGCAGGGAGTGGGAGCCAGGCTGCTAGTGAGGATGGGCCCCGCCTGAGCTGACCCAGTCTCCCCTTCTCTCTCCCCAGCCAACAGTGTGGCGAGCTACGAGAACCAGGGTGCGTCCAGGCCCCGGGGTGCTGGGGGAGGGGAGGGCTGGGGCCTGACCCGCTGTGCTGACCCTGGTGTTGTTGCCCAGGGCCAGTCTGTGAGGACAAGGATGAAGATGAGGAGGATGAGCACAACGAGGGCTACTTGTGAGTAGCCAGGCAGGAGGTGGGACGTGGCTGGGGCCCGGGTGTCTGGCTCACCCATTCTTGACCCCCCCTCAGGGTGGTGCTTCCTGACAATACCCCTGCCACAGTCAGCGCCGTCCCGCCAGCTCCTGGGCCCAACAACACCGGCCTCCGCGACAGCAACTTCTCCAGTGAGTCCCGCTTCTGACCCCACCCCCGCTCTGCTGCACCCCCCCTTCCCCCTGGCATTATTGCTTTGAGGTCGCCTGTCCCTCTTCTCTTTCTAGAATCCTGTCCTTCAGATTCCCATCCTTCCTGCTCTGATCTGCTGTTCTTACGTTTTCTCTCCTCTTTTCTTTGTCCCTTTTCTTTGTGTGAGGTTGCCTCGACTCTTTTCCTCCCACCCGTGCACTGAAATGTCCTCTCTCCTATCCTATCCCCAAATGCCTTCTTGGTCTGGGGGGGGGGCCTTTCTCATCGCCTCCTGTTTGCATTTCATGCAGCGTAGCCAGGGCACCTCAAAGGATGTCGCTCATAGGCTGTCTTTTAAAAAGCCTGGGGCAAATTTTCTTCTTCCTGCATTGTCTCAGCTTCCTGTGAGCTGCTTTCCTCCCTGTTTGGCCTCATCCTTCCTCATAGAGGCATCGCAGGGCCTGGAGAGCCTCTGTTTTCCGTTGCTCTCCTCTGCGCACTTGCCTGGGCCGGCGCTTGCGCGCCTGGCCTCATTTGCCATCTGGTTTCCCGCTCACCACCTCTGGCCCGACCTCCAGGTGGTCTGTCTGTTGCTTCTTTTCATCCCCTCCCTCGCTCTTTCAACATGGTGACCAGGCCGCAGCTGGGCTGGGGCTCGGCACACACACCTAAGGAGCCAGAGTTGAGAAAGGAGCCCTCGTTTATGGAGGGCTGACGATACCCCCCTTAGAGTTTGACAAACATTAACGTGTGAGAGCTCGCAACCCGCAGGTGTCTGCCTGTCCCTTCCCTCCTCACCTCAGTTGTCCCGTCGGCGCAATGGCAGACGTACGCCTGGCAGCGCTTGGGCAGGACAGGCACAGCTGTACTAGCCCCTGCTTTAATCCTCGCAACCCCCGTGAGGTGGTTGGTCCTCACCCTGTTTCACAGTGGAGAAAACCGAGCGAGGCAGCTTGTCAGAGGTGGCGGGTTAGTGAGGGCTGCAGCTAGGTTGGCGGCCGGGTGGCCGGGCTCCAGAGCCTGCCTTGCCCGCGTCTTCGTGGAGAAACAAGTGGCACCCCCCGCCCCTGTCACTCAGCTCCCGCCAACCTGGGCCACGCTGGGCTCTGCTCTTTCTGCTCCTACTTTCCCACTGGCGTCCCTGTCACTTTGCCCTTTGCCCTTGCCCAGGCCACCCACACTGCAGTCTGGGCACCTGCTCTGCCTCCCTGTGGGGCCAGCTGACCGTGGACACGACCTCTGGGCGTCTGTGCAGACACTCAGGCTGGTTATGTCAGTGGTGGTGGGGCTCTGGGGCTCCACCTGAGGGTGCTGGGTAACCATGCTGGGCTCTCTGGTTTCCCAATTCTCCAGCAGTGGAGTCAGGAGAAGATTATGTGAACGTTCAAGAGAGTGAGGAGAGTGGCAATGCGTCTCTGGGTGAGTGGCTGGTGCCCCCCTGGTGTCTCTGAGTGCCCACCCTCCCTTCCTCACCCTCAGCCTCCACTCCTGCTCTCAGTTGGGAGCCCACACCCCTTTCGGGGCTCCCTTGCCCTCTGGTGTCCTCCTGCTCTCTCACCCTGAGGTGGCCTGCCCCCCTTTCTGTCTGGCCATCCCTCTTTCTGACTTGTCCCCACAGATGGGAGCCGGGAGTATGTGAATGTGTCTGAGGAGCTACAGCCCCCAGCGAGGACTGAGCGTGGTGTGTACCTGGTGCAGGGGGAGCATGGCTGGGTGAGTGGCCTGTTGGCAGTGATCAGTGATCTAAAGACCAGCCCCCCTCTCCCCTCATAGCCACCAAGAATTCCCAGGAGCTGGAGGATGAGGAGGAAGAGGAACTTCCAGACTATGAGAACCTGCAGGAGCTAAACTGAGGGCCTGGTAAGAGGCCTGACCAGCCCAGCCTTGTCCTGGGCCTGTGGGCTCTTAACCCTCCCTCCCCACTGTCTCAGCCCTACCCTCTCTGACTCTGGGGTCTCCTATTGTCCACCTGATCCCATAGTCCCTTCTTCTCTCCCCACCCTGCTGTGTTTCAGTGCAAGGCCAAGCCTGACCTGGAACCAGCCTCGCCTGAGAGAGCTAAGCCGGAAGCCATGTAATGGCTCTGCTCCACGTGGCACCCGTCCTGGCCTTAGCCTGACAACAGCCTGAGAATTTCCCCTAACTTATTTTCACTTTGGGGTACAGTCAGTGTTCCCCCAACACTGCACCTTCTGATGCAGCCTGAGAATGAACTACTCTGACCCCAGCCCTACTCTGTTAGAATAAAGGCTGGTGTGGTCTGTAAGTGCTCTTGCCTTGGGGAGGGGGCCTTTGGGCCGGAGTCAGGGTGGGGTGGGCTGTCCTGAGGGCCTGTGTGTCTGTGGGTCTCCATCCCCCACAGGGGCCCCTGCTCCAGGTGCTGCGCGTGTGACTGAAGGGTGGCTGGCACGTGGCACATCTGAGCCAGGCCGGTGCTTCTGGGACTCAGCTGTATCTCCCCACGAGACAGTGCAGGCCGACTGTGATGAGGGGAGAGCAGGGCGTGGGGGAGCACAGGGTGGGGAGTGGATATCTGGGGCAAGGCCTTTGCCCTTCAGTTTCTCAATCTTTAAAACAAGGGGGTGGGCTTGATGACCTCAAAGGACTTTTTGTGGCTCTCGATAAAACCAAACTTAAAAATCGTCTAAGCATCCAAAAAGTGAATGTGCAGCTCCGAACTCTTCCAAGTCCCATGTGTGGACGGCTCCCCTGGAGGTCTTCCTACAAGGCAGGTGTGACTTGGTGGGCCTGGGGTGGGGCCTGGGATCTGCATTTTAGAGGTGCACCCAGATGACACCGACCCTGCTGTCTCATGAAGTGCACGCTGAGTAGTCAGGCCTGGTGGGTGCCCTGTCAGCATGGGGCCTTGCCTGGGCCAGTGAGGCTGGCTGGGGATCGGGTGGGAAGTGTCGGGGAACAGAAGCTCTTTGTTCACGGCGGTGGCTTGCCTGGAAGGATGTGCCCACGTACCCTGGAGCCCCCACTTGGAGAGCCTGCTGGAGAATGTCGCCAGCAAAGAGGGGAGTGTGGCCTGGAGATGGGAAGGCTACCTTCTTGATGCCAGAACTCCTGGAGCCAGTCATCCCGAAACGGACCCCCCTCAGCTTCCCATTTACATGGCCAATAAATTCCCATTTTCCTTCAATCAACTTGTCTTGGGGTTTCTGTCACACACAACCAGCGCAGTCCTGACTGACACCCCAAGTGGTTGGTGTCCCTTATGTGGCGTCCCAGACGTGATGGGAGCGGCTCCTCTTCCTGGAGCTGCTGCCGCATTTCCATCCTCACCTCACTTAGCCGTGGGCACGCCCCTGTGGTCGACTGGCCCCATTTCGCAGATGAGAGAACACAGCTCAGGAAGAAACGGTTTGCCCAAAGGCCCACAATCCGAGGCAAATCTGGAATTAGCTCTGTGGCTGTCGGCCTCCACACGCTGCCGCAGCATTCCCCCTGTGGCGGGAGGCCCGGCTGGAGAAGTGGAGAGGGAGGTTGGGACAGTGCCCGACAGGCTGGGTGCCAACAGGTGGGGTTTAATCACTTTATTTGAAGGAAATAGATATAAGCAGAGGCCTGGGCTGAGGCGCAGAGAGTGGTTTAACAGCAAGAATAATCTAGCAAGATCAGTACAGCTGAAGATGGCGTGGCCTTTTACTCAGCAAGCGTGTGGGTATAAAGCCTGACGAGTCCAGCACACGGGCAAGGAGGTGGCACGGGAAGGCTCGGGTTAGCGTTCAACGGCCCATGGCTGGGAGCCACAGACGGGTCACCAGGACAACGGGACACAGGATCCCAGCCACACCTCGGCTGCCCGCCAGCGCGTAGAAGTGAGTGGCCTGAAGCTACACCTGCCAGCACGGATAAGCACTACTCAGAAGTGGAGCGAGAAAAGGAACACAAGGTGCTTTATTTATATAAAGTTTAAAATATAAAAAAAATGGGGAATACAAATGTATGTAAGGGTCTCAAGAGAGTGGTAATCGCAGGGCAGAGGGTGAAATATCGGGAAGGAGCTCAGGAAGGCCTCAGTGACATGTGTAACATCTTATTCTTCAGCAGGGTACAAAAGTGTTTGATATGGGATTCTTCAACGTACTTGCAATTTTGAAGGCCCTTGTAACAAGAAGAGAGACCAAGGAGGGAATGGCGGGGGCAGGAGGACAGGTAAACAGGAGGCCGAGTCGCTTGTCTGTCTGTGCCAAGTGGGTGAATTACATTTGGTGATCTAGATCTTAGCAACAGCACATGCAAAGGCCCTGAGGTGGGAAACAGTGAGGAGGCTGTTGGCATCAGGCAGGTGAGAAATGGCGGCAGGCTGGTTGGAGAAGTGGATGGGGCTAGGTGGACAAATGAAATGTTTGGACGGCAGAGTCAGGAGACAAGGTGATGGGCTGGCCGTGAGCCGTGGGGCCATGAGCTGTGGGGAAGGGGCATTCTCTGAGCCACTGAGCAACTTCCCATTTGGGTTTCGTGGACCAAGTAAGAGGATGAGGCTTTGCTTCCTTCGGTGAGTGAGCCAGGACGAGGAAGGGGAGGGGGCATAGGGGAAGGGGGAACAGACAGAAAGAGGCAATTCAATGAGGCCTATGGGCCTGGGAATGGGGCTTCTTAGCACAACCGTTTCATTGGAAACTGGGGAGCAGAAATTGATTTTTTCTTGAAATCTGTTGAAGGAAAGATGGATTTACTGCTGAGTGAGGACATCTGAACATTTTCTGGAGTTGCAAGAGGAGACATCTGGGTGATTAGAGGTCAAGGCTCTCTGGATTTGGGTCCTTTCAGAAGCAATCCTTGAAAGCAGGATCCTAGTGCCCGTAGTTTATTTGGGAGGTGGTCCCAGAAAAACACTGGTTGGGGGGGTGGGAGTGGGGAAGTGAGACAAAGAGAGATCAGGCAACAAAGGGGGTGTTCTGAAGCTGGTCACCTCTGCAACAGGTGGGGCATAGACAGCACCCTGGGGCCCAGCCTAGGCCATCCTGCCTGGGGGGGCAGCTGGGGTATTTATCCATACCACCTGAAGGGCACGCGTGCATGCTGGGTGCTGTTATTCTCCAGAATTTCTGGCCTGCTACTCATAAGGGCACCGTGAGTCTGGTAGCCAGACAAGCCCTTGTTATAGAGCAACCCCGATATTAAACGGGTTCCTGGCTGTGGGTCCTCACCCGCGCGCTTTAAAGGGACTTATGAATACTCTACTACAGACACACACAAAAGGGTTAATAAAAGGTTTATTTACAAGAGGAAAGGAAATAAGGAAAATGTACAACTCAGGGAGAAAATAGGGAAATAAAGTCTTTAATGCGTCCTACCCGATCCGACGACCTGGAAACCCAAAGTCACTCCCAGAGCTGGCCGGAGGCTCCGCGCTGGCCGAGCGCCCCAAAATGGAGAGAGCCCCCAAAGCCCACGTGTCTGCCTTTTGTATCCACCTGGCTGCTTAACCCCACCCTCAGGTCCCAGCCACCTTCCCTTTTGTGGTGATGGGATTTGGAGTTCCCAGTGTCTTTGGCTTTGACCTGGGGTGGGGGTGGAGTCCACAAAGCCTGTATGGAATTAGCTTTGGGACCGCCTTTTCCCCCTAACACCCTGAGCAAAGGCAGCCAGGTGCCCGCAGCTGGGACAGGCAGTGCTGCTGCAGTGGAGAGAGGGGCTGGGGAGGGGCGCTGGAGGGAGGGCTGCACAGGACTACTGTAAGAGCTCGGTCTCTTTGTGGTATTCAGTGTGATTTTTGTCAAACAGCACTGTGTGGTCCGTGAGTGCTGGGAGAATTCTGGGGTCAGGAGAGTTTGGGGAAAGCAGTTTTCACTAAGAGCCCCCTGAAGAGTTGAGATGGGCGTTATTAAGTCAATGGCTCTGAGAGATCCTGTGATAAATAACTTTCCTCCTTTGCCCATCCTATAGTTCCCAAACACACTTGACTTTATTTATTTTAAAAGATTTATTTATTCATGCATACAAGAACCAGGGTACAGGCCAGATGTGTGGGGGGTAAGAGGATTCACCAGAGACAGAGTGGGGCACAGAGCAGGCAGAATGACTGAAATGCACTGCTGAGGGGAGCAGCAGGCAAGACAGGAGAGGTCTGCTGTGCCATGTGAGTATCTCCCCCACTGGCCTGGATCGAACAGCGCTGCTGACAGCTTCACAGCGCTGCGCTCAACCACCTGCGCCACCAGGGAGGCCCTACACTTGACTTTAAAAAACACTATTACTGGCATTTTTGCAGAACACTTTCTCACACCTAGAGAAGACATCTCGTTTCGCCATGCCAGCATCCACACTCAGTCCTCCTTCTTCCATGATGCCATCAGATTTCCTTTTGGAAAAGTGTAGGTAGCTCAGACAGCCCTACAGCTAAGTGCACACCTGACTCAGGATTGGCCAATCAGTATAGCCTCCTCCCCGGCCATCTGACTGGTCGATTATGGCACGTGACCCCATCAAGCCAATCAGTCACATTCCTGAGTTTCTTTGGGACTAACAGGGAAAGAAGCTTTTTAGCCATCGGGCACACAGGTCCTGAGCTGCTGAGAAAGACGTGGTGATTTCTCACTCTTCGGCTCAGAGAGAGCCTGCCTGAGCTCGAGAGCATCACTGAGGAAAGCAAAGTACACAGAAATGGAAATAGAGAAACTGAGTCCCGAAAGCCTGTGCAAGCACCCAGATCAGTGCCTGGGGCGATGACTCCTTGATGAGTTAATTTTTTTTTTTTTTAAAGTTTAGGTCAGTTTGAACCAAGCTTTTTGTCGCATGCAGCAAAAAGATTGTTGGTGAATAATCAATAATCATGGCTGCTCTCATTTCCACCAAAGCCCCAACTACATTCAGGCCAGCCCGGGCTGGTGAGGAGCCCTTGGTAACCAATGTGAGAAACTTCCAGACTCACCTTTCCCTCGCCCTACAACTCTTCTAAGTGCCCATGAAGACACCCACCTGGGGCCTCCCCCCGTGGCGCAGCTGTTGAGCGCTGGGTTGCGAAAGCTGCGCAGCTTCTGCAGCGCTGGTTCGATCCCCGGCTGCTCCCCGGCCACCGGAGGAGGGTCCCACATGGCGCGCAGACCTCTCCTGCTGCCCGCTGCTCCCCTCAGCAGTGTACTTCGGTCCTTCTGCCTGCTCTGCTCCCCGCTCTGGCTCTGGTGAATTCTCTCACCTTCCGCGCTTCTGACTGTACCCAGTGCTTGTATAAATAAATAAATCAATCTTTAAAAAAAAAAAAAAAAAAAGACACCCACCTGGGCGAGCATGTGCTGGCAGGTAACCCATCCATCCCTCCACAGGGTTCTG